CTGGATAAGAGCGTCTGCTAAATGACTAAAATGTAAATGTAAACTCAGTGCCTTTTTGCTTGACGTCATGGGAAAATCAAAAGAAATCAGCCAAGACCTCAGAAAAAGAATTGTAGACCTCCACAAGTCTGGTTCATCCTTGGGAGCAATTTCAAAACGCCTGAAGGTACCACGTTCATCTGCACAAACAATATTACGCAAGTATAAACACCATGGGACCACGCAGCCATCATACTGCTCAGGAAGGAGACGCGTTTTGTCTCCTAGAGATGAACGTACTTTGGTGCGAAAAGTGCAAATCAATCCCAGAACAACAGCAAAGGACCTTGTGAAGATGCTTGAGGAAACAGGTACAAAAGTATCTATATCTACAGTAAAACGAGTCCTATATCAACATAACCTGAAAGGCCGCTCAGCAAGGAAGAAGCCACTGCTCCAAAACCGCCATAAAAAAGCCAGAGTATGGTTTGCAACTGCACATGGGGAAAATATCGTACTTTTTGGAGAAATGTCCTCTGGTCTGATGAAACAAAAATAGAACTGTTTGGCCATAATGACCATTGTTATGTTTGGATGAAAAAGGGGGTGCTTGCAAGCCGAAGAACACCATCCAAACCGTGAAGCACGGGGGTGGCAGCATCATGCTGTGGGGGTGCTTTGCTGCAGGAGGGACTGGTGCACTTCACAAAATAGATGGCATCATGAAGAAGGTAAATTATGTGGATATATTGAAGCAACATCTCAAGACATCAGTCAGGAAGTTAAAGCTTGGTCGCTAATGGGTCTTCCAAATGGACAATGACCCCAAGCATACTTCCAAAGTTGTGGCAAAATGGCTTAAGGACAACAAAGTCAAGGTATTGGAGTGGCCATCACAAATCCCTGACCTCAATCCTATAGAAAATGTGTGTGCAGAACTGAAAAAGCATGTGTGAGCTAGGAGGCCTAGAAACCTGACTCAGTTACACCAGCTCTGTCAGGAGGAATGGGCCAAAATTCACCCAACTTATTGTGTGAAGCTTGTGGAAGTCTACCCGAAACATTTGACCCAAGTTAAACAATTTAAAGGCAATGGTACCAATTGAGTGTATGTAAACTTCTGACCCACTGGGAATGTGATGAAATAAATAAAAGCTGAAATAAATAATTCTCTATTATTATTCGGACATTTCACATTCTTAAAATAACGTGGTGATCGTAACTGACCTAAGACTGGTAATTTTTACTAGGATTAAATGTCAGGAATTTTGAAAAACTGAGTTTAAATGTATTTGGCTAAAGTGTATGTAAACTTCCGACTTCAATTGTGTATATATAGATTTCGCTCACTACATGGCCAAAAGTATGTGGACACCCCTTCAAATTAGTAGATTCGGCTATTTCAGCCACACCCATTGCTGACAGGTGTGTAAAATGGAGCACACAGCCATGTAAATTCCATAGATAAACATTGGCGGCGTAATGGCCCGTACTGAAGAGCTCAGTTACTTTCATCGTGGCACCGTCATAGGATGCCACCTTTCCAACAAGTCAGGTCGTCAAATTTCTGCCCTGCTAGAGCGGCCCCGGTCAACTGTAAGTGCTGTTATTGTGAAGTGGTAGGCCACACAAGATCACAGAATGGGACCACGGAGTGCAGAAGCGCGTTGCAACACTCACTACCGAGTTTCAAACTGCTTCTGGAAGCAACGTCAGCACAAGAACTGTTCGTCGGGAGCTTCATGAAATGGGTTTCCATGGCCGAGCAGCCGCACACAAGCCTAAGATGACCATGCGTAATGCCAAGCATCAGCTGGAGGGGTGTAAAGATCGCCACCATTGGACTCTGGAGCAGTGGAAACGCATTCTCTGGAATGATATCTTGCAGTCCTACGGACAAATCTGGGTTTGGCGGATACCAGGAGTACGCTACCTGCCCGAATGCATAGTGCCAACTGTAAAGTTAGGTGGTGGGGGAATAATGGTCTGGGGTTGTTTTTCATGGTTCAGGCTAGGCCCCTTAGTTCCAGTGAAGGGACATCTTAATGCTACAGCATACATTGACATTCTAGACAAATCTGTGCTTCCAACTTTGTGGCAACAGTTTGGGGAAGATCCTTTCCTGTTTCAGCATGACAATGCCCCCGTGCATAAAGCGAGTCCATACAGAAATAGTTTGTCGAGATCGGTGTGGAAGAACTTGACTGTCCTGCACAGACCCCTGACCTCAACCCCATCGAACACCTTTGAGATGAGTTGGAACACCGACTGCGAGTCAGGCCTAATCGCCCAACATCAGTGCCTGACCTCACTAATGCTCTTGTGGCTGAATGAAAGCAAGTCCCCGCTGCAATGTTCCAACATCTAGTGGAAAGCCTTCCCAGAAGAGTGGAGGCTGTTATAGCAGCAAAGGGGGGACCAACTCCATATTAATGCACATGATTTTGGAATGCGATGTTTGACAAGCAGGTGTCCACATAATTTTGGCAATGTAGTGTGTGTGTGTATATATCTATCATAAACACAGCAAAATCACGTTGTGAATTGCACTAGGCCTTTAAAGATTTAACTTTTGATTCTTGGAAGAGGGTCAAACGAGAAGGAGAATAACCTGGCTCAGTGAGTATCAGTTTCAATGACTCATGGATGTGTCATCCAGTGAGGATCACTCATCATTTAGCCACACTATTTACTGCTTTCTCTTGTAATTCAGAGGTTTCACATAACATGGCATATATAGACTATACTCACCCACTTGTTGGTTAAAACAAAATGAGTACTTACCTAAGACAAACAAACAAACTCATGCCCCCTTGGTAGAACAGAATTTTGAAGAACGTCATTTTTTTTATATCAATCACATATAATGCTGATGCTGTTGCACACCGCTTTTAATATTTGGAGTAAGAGAGTATCAACTACTTTACTCAAGCACTCTGACAGGGTGAAGATGAGTTTGTTTGTTCCAGGGGAAAAGAGGTCATGCAGCACACATGGGATTCTAGTGGGCCTACACATTGATCATGTTGGTCTATCAGTGCGTTTGATGTTAAGGATCTGTTGTGTTGGATACAATTTTGTAGAGTTCTGTTCAAAGGTCACTGAAAAATATCTGTTCTAGGAATTTTAACAGTTCAAGACAATGCCAGGAATATGTCACAATCGCATTTGAATGTTGTGCAATGCTGATAGTCATAGTATTTGCAGCCTCTGTCTTCCTCCTATGTCTTTCCATACACTTATTGGTTGATCATATTTATTATGAAAAGCATCAGATTGTAGTCTGTATTTCCCAATCCCTGTTGGAAGTTGCGTCGTCAACAACCTAATACGTTTGAGAATCTCAGTTTGGATCTGGATATATGCCTGAGGATGACCAAAGATGAAAGGTAAAAGGTTATCAAAACAACTCTACAAACCTGAAGAAAAGCTTCCTGATGAATGTTCTTGTGGTATGTTTCCCGTCCCCGGTTAAATGTTATTTTGGTATTCATGAAGGAACACTTTGTTCTCAATGACCCTGTTCTATTTTTTTTTCTTTCTCTTTAAGCCCGCAGCAAGAATTCCATCTGCTTTTGTAAAATGGAGGTTTTTGTCCTTATTAACCATATCTGTCCAGGAGGATGATTATGTAAGGGCTGTGACGTGTGTATCTCAGTGTTTTAGTTTGGGAGTGGAAGGTTTTCACTGTTGTGGATGAATCCTTCATTGAGGAGCATTGCTAGGTGGTAAGATGTTTTTGGTGGACCTGTGTGTTGCTGTCTTGTGATTCATGTTTCTTTTAATTGATGGACTTACTGGCTAATACAGTAGCAGATATTTTTTTGCCAGAAATACACAAGCATGCAGTGTTGACATGCTTGCTTAAGCCTAACAGGAGTGTGATAGCCTTCTGATTTTGCAGTGCTTGATAACAGATTGTGGTTGTTTTGGATTTTCTGCAGTCAACTGTCCTCACACCCCTCCCTGTGCCTTGAAGTTCTTGTTACTGAGCTTTTGGTATTTAATTATCTGTGTTCTCTAATTGAAAAGCACTGATAATGTCATTAAGAGCCGTGTTCTGTATGTTCAACAGAATATATTTCCTCCAAACCTCTAGATGAAAACTGATCCAGTGTCTATTGATTGAAAGCTGTCATATTTGGACACCATGCAATTGGTAGGTTGTGTAAACGTTGTATAGGCCTTTATAGATGAGCTGTGCTGGTCACTGATGTCCTTTACAGGAGATAGGAGGCAAGCCACCATGCTCGACTGGGACTGAGACTGAGGGCTCTTTGTGACAACCAGCAGATTCTACTCAAGGTCCATTTCTATTCCATATCCACCACTCCTGCTGCTATAGCCTGTGAGGGAAGGAGAGTGGCCCTCCCTTAGGATCTACCTTCTATTGCACTCATCGATCACATCACATAAAATTTTTTTAATGCCAGTAAGAACAGCCACCAGGGGAATGAATAACCCAATCTACAGCACATTCATCTGTTACTTTTTTCCCCAGCATATCTCCCATGGCCTCAAGCTATGTGTACTTTACTGCTGCGAGAGGAGTCATGAAAGTGATCCATTTCAAAACAATCGGAACCCCTCCCATTAAAGCTAAAGTACAGTGTGTCTCTGCTAGTTCCCATCTCCTCTCATTATTCTATTCAAATGGTTAAGAAAAGCAGGGGAACTGTGTTTCCAAGGAAACACTCGCCTCTGCAGCAAAGAAATGCTTCTCAGTAATGGTGTAGGGAATCTCTCATTTTGATGGTTTTATTGTTTTGGTGGCTCTAGGCTTGGGTGAAGAGCATTGAGAATCTTTTTTGGGGGGGACAAAAGCTGATTTACAGATTTGGCATTGTCATTTAGAAAGGTTTGTGGCTCACAGCCGGTGGCCCCTGCACTACTGTCTCACTAGCTTTATGGATGTCAGAATTAGACTGGAATTAGACCATAGAAGTAGAAGGTAGGTTACTGTCTTAGGCAACGGTGTCCATTGAATTGCCCACCTCAACCTGATTTTTATAGTTTTTCTCTCTGCAGCAACATGCAGCCAACCGGCCAAAGCCCAAGATGGGGACGTCAGCAGCGGTCAAGCTGCCGTCCAATCGCAGTGCGTCTGGCGCCAGACGCAGGAGAACACGCTGCCGAAAGTGTGAGGCATGCCTCCGAACCGAATGTGGAGAATGTCACTTCTGTAAAGACATGAAGAAGTTTGGAGGACCAGGGCGCATGAAACAGTCCTGTATCATGAGGCAGTGCATTGCAGTGAGTAAAACCACACAGGCTTTTCATTATCCATACTATTTAGCAGAGAGTTCAGTTAACCAATATTGTCTTATTCAATGATGCCGTGCTGTGCCACATGTAAAGACTGTGCATTTGACATGCAAACCATAATGAGAGGTTCAGGGTTTAAATCAAATAACATGCGCCGAATACAACAGGTGTAGACCTTACCGTGAAATGCTTACTTACAAGCCCTTAACCAACAATGCAGTTCAAGAAACAAGAGTCTGTGTAAGAGAGAACCAACCAGAAGTACAATGATACAGAGCGAGACATCAGGAAGTGAGTGCTAACATTTTTATTTGGCACAGTATGACTCATTCATCTGTCAATGGTCTCTAGATTCTGTTGAGTCCATTCAGTAGATATTTGTCTACGGCTTGGCATAGTCGCCAATGTCTGTTACTGATTCTCCTAAAACAGGAAACAGAATGCCCAGTAGCAGCTTATGAACACTTTTTCCAAATATTATTGCGCACCGGCATAGTAGACTCAATGTGTCTGACTCAATTAGTTTGTCACTGAATATGTATTTGTCCCTTGCAGCCTGTCCTGCCCCACACGGCTGTGTGTGTTGTGTGTGGAGAGGCAGGTAAGGAGGACACACTGGAGGAAGAGGAGGACAAGTTCAACATCATGCTCATGGAGTGCTCCATCTGCAGTGAGATTGTTCACCCCAACTGCTTAAAGGTGAGCTAGGATGAGCATGTCAAGTCATGACTGAACACGAGGAGTTTGATGATTCATAATTTGTGTGAGTGAGATTCACCTGAATGGTAGCTTAGTGGTTAAGAGTGTTGTGCCAGTAACCGAAAGGTCGCTGGTTCTAATCCCCGAGCCGACTAGGTGAAAAATCTGTCGATGTGCCCTTGAGCAAGGCACTTAACCCTAATTGCTCCTGTAAGTCGCTCTGGATAAGAGCGTCTGCTAAAAAGTAAAAAAAAAAAAAAAAAAATGTATGATACAGTTGAGAGATTTGATATGCTTTGTGACTCAAATGAGGGCAATACTGTGTCCTGGAATGTTTGCTGCTGTACCAATGGCAGGTGGTTCACTGTGTTTGACTTTCAGACAGTTTTACAAGGCAGCTTGTTGAGGCGGTGTGGTGGGGACTTCTTGTTGTTGTTTGACACTGACTGAACCAGCTCATCAATTTCCCTCCTCCAGATTGACTTACAGAAGGCTACTATAGTCTCTGGGAAGGAGAAGTGTCCAGCTGAAATCACATGACATAAGAATACAACTTTGCAGTGTTGTTGACATTGCCGGGTCGAGCCGGATGCAAATAAAATGCAAAGTCACTCGTGCACTCTTAACAACCATTCTGCCAAACCATAGCATGATCTTGCTCAAACCTGTTCAAATGAAGGGAAGTTGTGACTGCCTTTGGTATTCCAGGCACATAATGCTCTAAAGTGGTAGGTAAAGGATTCCTGAAGAATATACATTTTTCATTTTGATAATAGGAATTAGTGAGAAGGTCTTTATATCAGATGTTAGAGGTTGTTGTTTGCCAGAGATTCTCACTTTAAATGTCTGAGAAAAAAGGAAGTGTTTAACTGCCTCACATTAAGTGGTTTCAGTTCCCTGTTTGTCTCTGGTGAACACATTGTACTTTAGTCTAGACTCCCGTTCTGCCCTTCTTCTTAACTAGCTCTTTTACTTCATGCTTTTCAGGTAAAAGATGCCTCTGGCGTGGTGAATGATGAACTTCCTAACTGTTGGGAATGTCCCAAATGCAACTACGCTGGGAAAACAGGAAAAGTGAGTACCTATATGAATTCATCATTTATTTAAGTATGTGCAGAAATCTAAAATGTACATGTTATTTTGTAGTCTGATATTGAATTTGCAGTGACTTAAGAAACAGGGCTGTGAACTTTGGAAAACATTCCCCAAAGAGTTTCATTCTTTAAAGTCTGAGGCATTTCATAATGTAAACTCGGCAAAAAAAGAAACGTCCTCTCACTGTCAACTGCGTTTATTTTCAGCAAACTTAACATGTGTAAATATTTGTATGAACATAACAAGATTCAACAACTGAGACATAAACTGAACAAGTTCCACAGACGTGACAAACAGAAATGGAATAATGTGTCCCTGAACAAAGGGGGGGTCAAAATCAAAAGTAACAGTCAGAATCTGGTGTTTGGCCACCAGCTGCATTAAGTACTGCAGTGCATCTCCTCCTCATGGGCTGCACCAGATTTGCCAGTTATTGCTGTGAGATGTTACCCCACTCTTCCACCAAGGCACCTGCAAGTTCCTGGACATTTCTGGGGGGAATGGCCCTAGCCCTCACCCTCCGATCCAACGGGTCCCAGACGTGCTCAATGGGATTGAGATCCGGGCTCTTCGCTGGTCATGGCAGAACACTGACATTCCTTTCTTGCAGGAAATCATGCACAGAATGAGCAGTATGGCTGGTGGCATTGTCATGCTGGAGGGTCATGTCAGGATGAGCCTGCAGGAAGGGTACCACATGAGGGAGGAGGATGTCTTCCCTGTAACGCACAGCGTTGAGATTACCTGCAATGACAACAAGCTCAGTCCGATGATGCTATGACACACCGCCCCAGACCATGACGGACCCTCCACCTCCAAATCAATCCCGCTCCAGAGTACAGGCCTCGGTGTAACGCTCATTCCTTCGACGATAAACGCGAATCCGACCATCACCCCTGGTGAGACAAAACCGCAACTCGTCAGTGAAGAGCACTTTTTGCCAGTCCTGTCTGGTCCAGCGACGGTGGGTTTGTGCCCATAGGCGACGTTTTTGCCGGTGATGTATGGTGAGGACCTGCCTTACAACAGGCCTACAAGCCCTCAGTCCAGCCTCTCTCAGCCTATTGCGGACAGTCTGAGCACTGATGGAAGGATTGTTCGTTCTTGGTCTAACTCGGGCAGTTGTTGTTGCCATCCTGTACCTGTCCCGCAGGTGTGATGTTTGGATGTACCGATCCTGTGCAGGTGTTGTTACATGTGGTCTGCCACTGCGAGGACGATCAGCTGTCCGTCCTGTCTCCCTGTAGCACTGTCTTAGGCGGCTCACAGTACGGACATTGCAATTTATTGCCCTGGCCACATCTGCAGTCCTCATGCCTCCTTGCAGCATGCCTAAGGCACGTTCACGCAGATGAGCAGGGACCCTGGGCATCTTTCTTTTGGTGTTTTTCAGAGTCAGTAGAAAGGCCTCTTTAGTGTCCTAAGTTTTCATTACTGTGACCTTAATTGTCTACCGTCTGTAAGCTGTTAATGTCTTAACAACCGTTCCACAGGTGCATGTTCATTAGTTGTTTATGGTTCATTGAACAAGCATGGGAAACAGTGTTTAAACCCTTTACAACTAAAATCTGTGAAGTTATTTGGATTTCTACAAATGATCTTTGAAAGACAGGGTCCTGAAAAAGGGACATTTTCTTTTTTGCTGAGTTTACTTACTGTGCTACTTACCAATGCCCTGTCTGTTACAGGGGAAACAAACACCTCATTCTCTAGAAGTGGTAGTCACAGTCGATCTAGTTTCACTCTTGTGAAACAAGTACAGTAGCTCAGTTTGGTGACCCCGTAGTGATAAGCAAAAGGTATAAAGTTGTCTCCCCTGTTTTTCCACCTTTTTGGTCTGCAAGCAAAAAAGGGGACCAGGGTTCAAGTACGCGTCCAACCTCCCTGGCTCTCTGCTGAGGGAGCAAAAGGCGGTCAAGGAGGAGGGCGAGTCCACCTCTACGTCTACAGCCAAGAGCAAGCCTGAGAGGGATGAGACTCCCAGACACAGACCTGAGGAATGGGAGCCCCTTCACAGACAACCCCCTGTCCTATCCCCCAGCACCCTGCCTCGGCCCAGACCTGAGGACAAACTGAGGAAGAAGAGAAAGCTCTTCGATGATGACTATGAAGAGGACTTTGGTGTGAGGAAGAAGGTAGAGAGACTCCGATTTCATCATGTGGTTTGTGTTTGTTAGTATAATGTTACTCTGACTATAGGTGGCCATTTTCATGCTGTGCCAAGCAACTCCTTTTGTTAAATGTTTGTATGTTATGTGCTCTGGTATCCATAGTTGAACATGCTCTCTAACTAAACCTTCCTATCCCCCACAGGGAAAGTCAGATGAACCTCTGTTCCCCAAACTCCTTCATCAGATCAAGATGGAGGAGGAGGATGAGGTGGATGAGGAGGAGAAGGCCTCTCTGTACCGGCGAGGCCTGGAGAGGAGAGGGCGTTTAGGAGATACCGAGGAGGAGGCAGAGGACAGGGATGACGAGGACACAAAGACAAACCTGTCCAGGCCTCCTCTCAAAACTCCTGTTCTAGACAGTGATCAGTCTCACTGCAGCTCTCCATGGGCCGGCCCCAGCAGTGAGGGGGGCAGTGAACCCCAGGAGAAAGGCCCACGTCCCAAAGCGTGCCGCAAACGCCGATTACCCAACAAGGAGCTGAGCAAAGAGCTGAGCAAAGCACTGAACCAGGAGATCCAGAAGACTGAGGACTGCCTAGCCAATGAGAACCGCCAGCCCCTGAAGGTGGAGCCAGAGAGTGAGAATGAGGAGCCAAAGAGGGGCTTCCGCAACAGCAGTGACCAAGGAGGGGAGCGCCCCCACCTCTGGACCAAGGAAATGAATGGCACCCCCTGGGAGCTGCGCCACTTCTATCCCAGCCAGATCACCCCTCTGGGCTTCAACAGAAGCTCCCCTGGCACCCGGCCCCTGCCCCCACGCTCCCCACCAAAGTGTGTCCAAATGGAGCGCCACGTCATCCGGCCGCCACCCATCAGCCCCCCACCAGACAGACTGCCCTTGGTGGATGGGAAAACCCACACGGTGCAGCGAGAGGTCTGGATGAAGATCTTCGGACACGTCACACACAAGGAGCTGTGTATCTGCATGTGTGTCTGCAAGACATGGAACAGATGGTGAGAGCTCCATTCTACTCAGACTGTGTTACTTCACATCACAGGTTTTTAAAAACATAAAGAAACACTTAGATTAAAATATACCAAGTATCTAAAACATTCGTCTGTCCATTACAAATAGAGTGTGTATCTCTGTTGTCTATCTCTGACAGGTGCTGTGATAAGAGACTGTGGACCATAATCGATCTGAACCGCTGTAAATCTATCACTCCCCTGATGCTGAGTGGCATCATCCGCAGACAGCCCCTCTCACTGGACCTCAGCTGGACCAACATCTCCAAGAAGCAACTAAGCTGGCTTATAAACCGCTTACCAGGTATGTACCATGACCATGTCACACTCTGATCTATGGGACAAAAATCTATGTTTTGGGTCGAGATTAGAGACTGTCCACCACTCTGTGATTCTATCTCAGTGTTGAAACTCTTCTGACACTACTCCGCTCTGTCCTGCAGGTCTGCGGGTGTTGCTGCTCTCAGGTTGCTCGTGGGTGGCTGTATCTGCCCTCTGCACCTCTAGCAGCCCTCTGCTGCGAACCCTCGATGTGCAGTGGGTGGAGGGGCTCAAAGATGCCCAGATGAGGGACCTGCTCTCGCCTCCGACTGACAACAGACCAGGTAACCACCGGCAACAGGAGGGGAGAGTTAGGTGAAATTGACGTGACTGTATTATAGCACCCCCTGGTGGTTTTCCTGGGTGTGACCATTAGGAAGAACATGAGGGGATCTTTAGATTTTACATTTGAGTCATTTAGCAGACGCTCTTATCCAGAGCGACTTACAGTTAGTGAGTGCATATATTTTCATACTGGTCCCCCGTGGGAATCGAACCCACAACCCTGGCGTTGCAAGCGCCATGCTCTACCAACTGAGCTACACGGGACTACATAGTTCACATGTGTTTATTTAAAGGATGTTAACCAAAATTAATTACATTACTCGCCATGTTTGACTGCGAGACAGGAAATCACTCATATTTTGTTCCACCCTCAGGTCAGTTGGACAACCGTTGTAAGCTGAGGAACGTTGTGGACTTACGTCTGGCCGGACTGGACATCACAGACGCCTCTCTGCGTCTGATTATCAGACATATGCCGGTACTTTCCCAACTGGACCTGAGCTACTGCAACCACGTCAATGACCAGTCGGTCAACCTGCTGACGGCCGCAGGGACGACAACCAGAGACTCCCTCACAGAGATCAACCTGTCAGGTAGGAAGCCTCAGTCAGTCACACTACTCTCACAACGTCAGTATGAGCTATAGGGGCTAAGATAACAGCACAGAGGCTGTTTCTAGTTACTCTGCTATTTTTCTTATTTTTATGTCTGTTAATATAGAATAAGTATTTATTCTTAGTCTGTTATCTCAATTTTATATTAAGAGTTTAACTATAGCTTGCAAGTCTTTATGTTGCATTTTAGCATACATAATATTCAATTCGACTCCGTACACATTTCCTCATGCCTGGCTCTGTTTTTGTCTCCCCCTCCAGTTTGTAATAGGGTGACAGACCATTCCCTTACCTTCTTCAAGCGCTGTGGAAGCATCTGTCACATTGACCTGCGCTACTGCAAACAGGTGACCAAGACGGCCTGTGAACAGTTCATAGCAGAGATGTCTGTAAGTGTACAGTTTGGCCTCAAAGAGGACAAATTACTGCAGAAACTCGGCTAGTTCATTGAGGGACACTGACACAGGCCAAAATGTACACAGCAACAAAGAACTACCTTTTACACTAAATGGAGCAAGACAAGGTTTCCCCCATCAAGCCTGGACTGGTTGGTTTTGTATGTTTATTTCCTCTTCATTGGAGAATCTACTGTGTTAGATTTCTGAACAAACAATGTCACATGAGTTGATGAGAGAAGCAGAGGTGTGTAAATGGACTGGGGAGATTTTTGCATCAATGTCTTTCTGGATGTTGCAGAATCCTTGTACTGATAAGGGGAAGATGTAAAGCTACTAGACAGAAGGAGATGGTGAAGGAAAACAAAGCCTGCATGAGTCTTTCTTTTTGTGTTTGTACCTTTATTTAAGGTTTATTTGTTGTATTGAATTTGTTGGGGAATTTGTTTTCTATTATTTAGGTTTGTTTTATACAACAATTCATGAATTGGGCAAAACATTTTAAGTTTAAGTGAAACTTTATGTGTACCATATACACTCCAGATTTCAACATATGAACAGATCCCAGATGACATGTCTTAGAACTGAATATTGACCTACAGATCTTTTATATCAGTTTGCCTTGACACCAATGGTAATATATATTTTTGGATGCTGTTTTACCTGATATCATGTGCCAATTTCTGAAGTTGACATTACAAGTTTTATGGTAGTTACTGACTTGGACTGGATTTACTTTACTTAAAACATGAAAATAAGACCATCATAAAATATGTTATAAATGTCTACAGCTGCAATATGTAACTTTTTGGGTGACCTGACCAAATTCACATAGTTAAAGATCTGTCATTGAAAGCAAGTCTAAGAAGTAGATCAGTTATTTCTATGCTTCCTGTTCTTAAGTTCCGTTTTTGTCTTTTGCTTTCGGTTTTGTACACCAGCCTTAAACAGCTGAAAAACACAATATTTTTGGTTATGGAAAATATATTTCACAGCGGTTTAGATGGTACTCTACACTATACTTGCTTATTTTGTCACAAACTGAAATTAGGCGAACTATTAGAATTTTTGCAACCAGGAAATGCCGAGGCGATTTCTGCATCTTTAAATAAATGTTGAACAAGTGGTTAAATGAATGCAGCTTGAAATTAATCAGTCAATCAATATTGACATAAGGAAAGTTAGTCAAATGTATTTTTAAATCTCTCAATGATACCTTCTGTATTTTCCTGTTTCATACAAATTTCAATGTCGTGTTTCACATGTTTTAGCAAGAGCCCATAATGTGAGTTTGTCAAGTAATTGAATCATTTTCCACCCATACATACAATAAGTGGCCTCCACAAACTTGGTGTGTAATGAGTTTCTTTGAACTAGCATTTGCTCATCCAATAATGAATTCCAAGACCGACAGATCTACTCCTTTGTTGTTGTTTTTTTGTTTTTTTATATTTGAGAGTAATCATCCATAATTATCTGTGTTTTTTTGCAAATAATATAATTATAATTGTCATTTATCTGTCGTGATTGTGGCATACAATGTCAAGTGAATGCTGTTGGCCACACAGATGCACATGATGTAGTTTTATATTTGTAAATCTAAAACCATGTCATTAAAAGTATATTTCTCTGTATAAAATCAGACTTCTCATACTATGATGACATTTTTGACCCTCAGCAGAGTATTTCCTAAATGCCAGGGTCACTGGTGACCCCGGGTGGCTTAGCTTTCAATGAGCAGGAAATAACATTGGTATTTGGACATATTTTTGGAACCCCCCTCACCCAACTCTGAGATCATGTATCAACCATGCTTGTATTTTTCCATTCAGCATTTGTCACATGGAAGCTGCTCTCTGCAGCTGTCTTCTCCTAGACAACGGTATAATCTGGCACTCTAAACACTAGTTCACCCTACAGGATTGCATTCATTTTCCTGAAGCATTTTCCCATTTATCAAATTCTTAATTGCATTTTTCAAAGGGGTGCCAAGAACAAGTGGTCTGGGCATCACTACATATCAGACAAGTAGACAAAGTCAAACTAATGTAATCTTTAATTATCAAAATAAAAAGTTCAACATTCCCAAATACAAAGACCAGACGTTGCACAATTTGTTTAGCATATCCTTCCAACAGGAAGTGCAACCTGCTCAGTTACTGTAATCTCTCGCATGTGACATCTTTTTGGAAATAGCAGCAATGTTGACTGTGTGATACAGTAGAGTGCTTGGTATTTTAAAAGAGAAGGAAACAAACATCAGTAGGGAGATAACATCTCAAACCCAATCTCAGTGCCTATGTCTGAAATGGCACCCTATTCCCTGGCCTACAGTGCCTTGCAAAACTATTCATCCCCCTTGGTGTTTTTCCTATTTTGTTGCATTACAACCTGTAATTTAAATGGATTTTTATTTGGATGTCATGTAATGGACATACACAAAATAGTCCAAATTGGTGAAGTGAAATTTTAAAAATAACTTGTTTAAAAAAATACTACAAAATAAATAACGGAAAAGTGGTGCGTGCATATGTATTCACCCCCTGAAGCCCCTAAATAAGATCTGGTACAACCAATTACCTTCAGAAGTCACATAATTAGTTAGATTGCACACAGGTGGACTTTATTTAAGTGTCACATGATCTCAGTATATACACCTGTTCTGAAAGGCCCCAGTCGGCACCATGAAGACCAAGGAGCTCTCCAAACAGGTCAGGGGCAAAGTTGTGGAGAAGTACAGATCAGGGTTTGGTTATAAAAAAATATCAGAAACTTTGAACATCCCACGGAGCACCATTAAATCCATTATTAAAAAATGGAAAGAATATGGCACCACCACAAACCTGCCAAGAGAGGACCACCCACCAAAACTCACAGACCAGGCAAGGAGGGCATTAATCAGAGGCAACAAAGAGACCAAAGATAACCCTGAAGGAGCTGCAAAGCTCCACAGTGGAGATTGGAGTATCTGTCCATAGGACCACTTTAAGCCATACACTCCACAGAGCTGGGCTTTACGGAAGTGACCAGAAAAAAGCCATTGCTTAAAGAAAAAAATAAGCAAACACGTTTGGTGTTCGCCAAAAGGCATGTGGGAGACTCCCCAAACATATGGAAGAAGGTATTCTGGTCAGATGAGACTAAAATTGAGGTTTTTGGCCATCCAGGAAAACATTGTGTCTGACGCAAACCCAACACCTCTCATCACCCAGAGAACACCATCCCCAAAGTGAAGCATGGTGGTGGTAGCATCATGCTGTGGGGATGTTTTTCATCGGCAGGGACTGGGTAAACTGGTCAGAATTGAAGGAGTGATGGATGGCGCTAAATACAGGGAAATTCTTGAGGCAAGGTTCACCTTCCAGCAGGACAATGACCCTAAGCATACTGCTAAAGCAACACTCGAGTGGTTTAAGGGGAAACATTTAAATATCTTGGAATGGCCTAGTCAAAGGCCAGACCTCAATCCAATTGAGAATATGTGGTATGACTTAAAGATTGCTGTACACCAGCGGAACCCATCCAATTTAAAGAATGGGCAAAAATCCCAGTGGCTAGATGTGCCGAGCTTATAGAGACATACCCCAAGAGACTTGCAGCTGTAATTGCTGCAAAAGGTGGCTCTACAAAGTATTGACTTGGGGGGGTGAATAGTTATGCACGCTCAAGTTTTCTGTTTGTTTCACAAGAAAACATATTTTGCATCTTCAAAGTGGTAGGCATGTTTTGTAAATAAAATGATACAAACCCCCCAAAAATCAATTTTAATTCCAGGTTGTAAGGCAACAGAATAGGAAAAATGCCAAGGGGGGTGAACACTTTCACAAGCCACTGTATATAGTGCACTACTTTTCACCAAAGCCCCATAGGGCATTGGGTGCCATTTTGGACACAACCATTCAGACTGATGTCATCATGCTCTGCTTTTCATTTGGGGACATACCGCTCAAGCAAACCAATGCAGTAACACATTTCAATCCACCTGACAGTGAAACCTTACTCTTTAATAATAAACTAATCTGAGGGACATCTTCAATTCAATTACACATTCAAATCAAATGGAAAAAATATAGATATGTACATCTCATAGTGATATGAAACATTATATGCAACTGTACAGCAAGTCACTTTTCCTCTACATACTTCATATTCCACAAGTGCCAGTTAACTTGCAGCTATATATTTGATTAAAACTACAATAACGTATCAATTAAAAACAGACAATATCCCCTCCACTTCCAAGAAAGGAAACTGAAAATATTCAAAGCATTGTCGCTGCCTGATGGAATTACGTGCTCATAACTCAATTGTAAATTTGCATTTAGTTTTTCCATTTATTAAAAGCAGTAACTCCCCTCAATGTTGTGCTCTGAACATTTGATGACTCTAGGACCAAGAAAATGTATTCGAAATAGCTTCTGAAGTTTCATTATTGTATGTTCGTTAATGGGAAAATATGGTCATTTTGACCATTTCCTGAAAAGTTTGTTTGTGACGATATCCACAAGTTGGTATATTAACAAACAGAAAAAAAACATATTTGAATGTATTTAGCACCAGTTTTCTTTTTCATCTTAACATTCAGTGCTAAGACTATGACAAAGAGCAGATAAGATATTGGATATTGCCGTTATGACAGAATTAAAACACAAATATGAGACTTCCTTTCAAATCAAAATTGACCTCTATATGGGAAGACATTACATGATGGGTTTGGTCATTGGGACAGGAGGAACAGTGAGTTACAAGTCACAATTAGTGGTTCACTCTGTAGGTACCTGGGAACGATGGTGCGCACTCACAGCTCACATTCTTGTTTAAAAGTCAACATTAGTAAGAAAAAGCATAACATAAAGATACGGTAGGTAACAAAACGTCAAGGATGTGTTTAGTAATGGAATGGAATGGGTAAATACAAGGGTAGACTGCTGCTCTCCTTTTCATTGGTCAAACACTGATTAGTCCCCCAAAACATAAATGGAAAAAAATAATGAGAACACTTCATTTCTCAAATTCATGATCAAGTTCACAAATAATGTAAGCATTTCAGGGGATAACAACAGAACACCCACAACTAGGACAGAACAACACAAAGATCTGTTTCTCTGGATGTGAATGTTTTGTTGAAGATGTGACACGGTGGTGGTGATGATGATGGAAGTGGTGGGTTGAGACATTAGGACTTGAAAACGTGCACGGCTCTCACGACGTACTGCCTGCAGATGGGACACTCGCTCATCCGCTTGCCACACTTGGTGCAGGTCACCATGTGACCGCACTCCAGGAGGACGCAGTCGATCACGGCGTCCATGCAGATCCTGCACAGGTTGTCATCCACATTGGTCAGCTGGGCCTTCTCCCCATCTGGAGGAAGACAGAGGGGAGGAATCAGAGAAGAAAGCAAAATAACAGGACATTCCATACATAGAGGGGAGGAGAGGAGAGCGATGATGATGTCAAGCCCTGGAGAGGTAGAAGAGAGTGGCACTGCCAGAGAGAGAGATCACTAAAATATCTCCTTGCTCGCTTATCCAGGGTCCCTTATCTTAGGAAGGTCATGGCTGGTATAAACCAGAGGGCAAGCGCCATACAGGCTCCTGGAAATGTCCCTGTCTGATAAAAAGGCTTCGCTATGAGGGGTTTCCATGACAATGAGACCCCCTTCATCACCTGACGGTGTATCAGTGGAGGTTTGAATTCAGACCCCAGACATCTTACCGCTGTATAGATTTAGCTTTATAGACACGTGTGTGAAATTATCAGACATCTTGGGCTTTCTAAGAGGTAATAAACTTAAAGATGGCGCTTGGATGACTGGTTCTTACTTGGCAACGGAAAGGGGCAATGAGGACCTCCAACAGCTAGACATGCTCAGATGGCATGAAGGTACCTTTGGTATGGATGAGATACAAAGACAGAACGATGGATGTGCAGTAGTAGTAGTGGTGGTGAGACCACATGTAGTAAGTAAGGTGATACTCCCTGCATGCATCACTAAGGGCTGAGGGCTGTGTATGAGGTTGGATGCCTGTGTTACATGCAGGCTGAGGGGCCATGAGATGGTAGGAGTGACCAGGTCAACAGTAGGAGTGACCAGGGGAAGATTTGCCTTTTTCAGATACTTTACCTCCAATCCCTCCATTGCAGATGGGAGGAGGGGGCAAGGCCACCACTTGTGTGGAAGGAGTAAAGCAACAGTCATTAAATACTGATTCTTTTTTATTTATGTTTTACTACAGAAATCAAGTCAGAAACAACCCTTGCTACAAAGCATTGATGGGATACAGGAACTCTGATGGTACAATATTAAAGTACAGTAATGAAGATACTGTACGTCCTGAGCTAGAATATCACTGACAAGGACTGAAGGGTTACATGTCAAGTAGCTGTACTTTCCATTCCTGTTACACAGACTATACATATCATCACGAAAGACAGACAGAGGAGTGATATTTTACCTGCAGTTATAGCTGTGTTCACGTTTTCCACTGGAGGATAGAAAGAAAACACATTTAGATTAATAACTACTGTACACCATTTTGATGTGCAAACATGGTGTGGTAATGACCATAGCAGTTGGCAAGCCAGCTCAAATGGATCTGGGACCAGGCTCACTGCTACTCACATGACTTCCTGTTCTCCTCGGTCTCCCTGTACAGGCGGCTGACACGCTCTACCAGCTCCCACTTCTCACAGCAGCCTGAATAGTTGACAAAGTTCCTGGCCAGGATCTCCTTCAGCTGTCTAACTGACAGGCCCTCGATGTCCCTCAGGCTGGAGATGTCTGAGAGAGAGGCCCGCGCTCGCGTCCGCATCTGAGGGCTCACCTGCAGGAGAGAGAGGAGAGTCATAAGCCATTACATACATGACACACTGCACTGGAGAGAAAGGGGCAGATAGGACAGGATAAACTTGCACCCCTTTGAATAAGCTCCAGATGCTGTGAGAGGACATTTTTCAACAGTTAGCAGCCTACTGGGAGTGATGTTTATTATTTACCTCTGGTGTGTGCTCACTGGATTCCAGGTTCAGGAGGGAGAGAGACGTGGCGTCTCCTATATCCTGTTCAGACAAAACAAACAAACACATGACTCAGACGGAGGGCTGTGGCAGTCATTACATTTTGTCAGCCGGTTATTGTCATGCAAAAGGCTACCAGTCTCACGATAATTGACCGTCAATTAACATAAACACGTTTAGCATCTCCAGGCCTCCATGCATACAAGCCACTGATGCACGCCTTTGGAACATCTACATTTAAAAAAGTAGAATAAATCAATTTAATATACACCATCACAATAAATCCATTATTTATTTTAGGCAGGTCTAAAGAAACATTATGATATGAAGGAAATGTATTTTAGAAGAACAGAATATGAGTTGGCCTACTGTATGTTATCTAGCTAAGCACCATGCCATAGGCTTGGTCATTTATCAGACAAGATATGCTTATAAGTTCTGTGCCATTATTTTACATTACTTTATAGTAAGAAGAATGTAATCGAACTTAGCTGAATAAAAAAGAAAGGATATTTTTCCCATTACAGAGCGAGTGCGCATATGAAGTGGCTATGTTGAGCATAAAGGTGATCATTTGAAACATGTCCTATAGTCTAGATTCAGAGTTATTTGGCAACTTAAGTTGTGAATGATACAAACATTAGAATGTCTCAGAAATCAGAACATATATGGGCCTGCATGATGAGACTATAGGCTATTGTAAAAATAACTTGCGCTCTGTTCCTTGCCTCAGGCTACACACATCAGGTGATCATATTTTCACCCATCAGACTATTCTCAATGTAATCTAGTCTTCACTAATATGTAAAATTTGTTTCGATTTACAATAGCCCATCATCAAATGGGTAGGAACAGGGGCAGGGGAACAAATACATGTCATCTGTATGCACTCTAATGCATTTTTCACTCATGCCGGAAAGGCTACTCCTGTTATGTCACTCCACACATCAACCACTGTTTGAGGAGCATGCAGCCTTTCGCTGCATGACAGGTGATATTCCGCCCAAACTCTGTATGCCATGGGCTCTACAACCTTGTTCCTGCAGCTACCCAGTGCTTAATTTGGGAAACCAAGTGAAATCTGTTCAGGAACATCGATAGTAACATGTTTTCACAACAAAACATATTTAATTAAACTGTTGACATCCCCTCTCTCTGCTCGCTCGTGAAAGGAATGGAGAGAGGGGAGGACATGGAAATGCATGGTGGTGAGATATTCTGTAGCTAAAAGGTAATGAGTTAGCCTATTATTATGAAAATACTTTTTTTTTTTTAATCCCTATTACTAGGCTATTCAAAATCAAATACAAATGCACTATAATTGTAGGCTAACTCTGTAAGCCGCCCTGCACAATTAATGAACCAACGGCATTGCCTAGGCCTACACTTTATTCTCTGTACCCAACGCACTAGAAGACCAGTTCTTAAAGCTTTTAGCCGTATCCTTATCCTAGTCCTCCTCTGGTGATGTAGAGGCTAACCCCTGCAGCCCCCAGTATCACTCCTACTCCCCAGGCACTATCATTTGTTGACTTCTGTAACCGTAAAAGCCTTGGTTTCTTGCATGTTAATATCAGAAGTCTCCTTCCTAAGTTTGAATTATTCACTGCGTTAGCACACTCTGCCAACCCTGATGTTCTAGCAGTGTCTGAATCCTGGCTTAGGAAGGCCACCAAAAATTCTGAAATGTCCATCCCCAACTATAACATTTTCCGTCTAGATAGAACTGCCAAAGGGGGTGGAGTTGCAATCTACTGTAGAGATAGCCAGCAGAGCTCTATCATACTATCCAGGTCTGTGCCCAAACAGTTTGAGCTTCTACTTCTAAAAAGCCACCTTTCCAGTAATAAGTCTCTCACTATTGCCGCTTGCTACAGACCCCCCTCAGCCCCCAGCTGTGCCCTGGACACCATATGTGAATTGATTGCCCCCCATTTATCCTCAAAGTTCGTACTGCTTGGTGACCTAAATTGGGATATGCTTAACACCCCGGCCATCCTACAATCCAAACTAGATGCCCTCAATCTCACACAAATTATCAACGAACCTACCAGGTACAACCCTAAATCCATAAACATGGGTACCCTCATAGATATCATCCTGACTAACTTACCCTCTAAATACACCTCCGCTGTCTTCAACCAGGATCTCAGCGATCACTGCCTTATTGCCTGCGTCTGTAACGGGTCCGCGGTCAAACGACCACCCCTCATCACTGTCAAACGCTCCCTAAAACACTTTAGCGAGCAGGCCTTCCTAATTGAGCTGGCCCAGATATCCTGGATGGATATAGATCTCATTCCGTCAGTAGAGGATGCCTGGTTGTTCTTTAAAAGTAATTTCCTCTCAATCTTAAATAAACATGCCCCATTCAAAAAATACAGAACTAAGAACAGATATAGCCCCTGGTTCTCCTCAGACTTGACTGCCCTTGACCAGCACAAAAACATTCTGTGGCGTACTGCATTAGCATCAAATAGCCCCCGCGATATGCAACTTTTCAGGGAAGTTAGGAACCAATATACACAAGCAGTTAGGAAAGCAAAGGCTAACTTTTTCAAACAGAAATGTGCATCCTGTAGCACGAACTCCAAAAAGTTTTGGGACACTGTAAAGTCCATGGAGAATAAGAGCACTTCCTCCCAGCTGCCCACTGCACTGAGGCTAGGAAACACTATCACCACCGATAAATCTACAATAATCGAGAATTTCAACAAGCATTTTGCTACGGCTGGCCATGCGTTCCACCTGGCTACCACTACCCCGGCAACCAGCTCTGCACCCTCCGCTGCAACTTGCCCATGCCCCCCCCCGCTTCTCCTTCACACAAATTCAGACAGCTGATGTTCTGAAAGAGCTGCACAATCTGGACCCCTACAAATCAGCTGGGCTAGACAATCTGGACCCTTTCTTTCTAAAACTAGCCGCCGAAATTGTCGCAACCCCTATTACTTGCCTGTTCAACCTCTCTTTCGTAACGTCTGAGACCCCCAGAGATTGGAAAGCTGCCGCGGTCATCCCCCTCTTCAAAGGGGGTGACACTCTAGATCCAAACTGTTACAGACCTATATCTATCCTGCCCTGCCTTTCGAAAGTTTTTGAAAGCCAAGTTAACAAACAGATCACCGACCATTTCGAATCCCACCGTACCTTCTCCGCTATGCAATCCGGTTTCCGAGCTGGTCATGGGTGCACTTCAGCCACGCTCAACGTCCTAAACGACATTATAACCGCGATCGATAAAAGACAGTACTGTGCAGCCGTCTTCATCGACCTGGCCAAGGCTTTCGACTCTGTCAACCACCGCATTCTTATTGGCAGACTAAATAGCCTTGGTTTCTCAAATGACTGCCTCGCCTGGTTCACCAACTACTTCTCAGATAGAGTTCAATGTGTCAAATCGGAGGGCCTGTTGTCTGGACCTATGGCAGTCTCTATGGGGGTGCCACAGGGTTCAATTCTCGGGCCGACTCTTTTCTCTGTGTATATCAATGATGTCGCTCTTGCTGCTGGTGACTCTCAGATCCACCTCTACGCAGATGACACCATTTTGTATACATCTGGCCCTTCATTGGACACTGTGTTAACAAACCTCCAAACAAGCTTCAATGCCATACAACACTCCTTCAGTAGCCTCCAACTGCTCTTAAACACTAGCAAAACTAAATGCATGCTCTTCAATCGAACGCTGCTGGCACCCGCCCACCCGACTAGAATCACTACTCTCGACGGGTCTGACCTAGAGTATGTGGACAGCTACAAATACCTAGGTGTCTGGTTAGACTGTAAACTCTCCTTCCAGACTCACATTAAGAATCTCCAATCCAAAGTTAAATCCAGAATTGGCTTCCTATTTCGCAACAAAGCCTCCTTCACTCATGCTGCCAAACATGCCCTCGTAAAACTGACTATCCTACCGATCCTTGACTTCGGCGATGTCATTTACAAAATAGCCTCCAACACTCTACTCAGCAAATTGGATGTAGTCTATCACAGCGCCATCCGTTTTGTCTCCAAAGCCCCATACACTACCCACCACTGTGACCTGTACGCTCTTGTTGGCTGGTCCTCATTACATGTTCTTCGTCAAATCCACTGACTCCAGGACATCTATAAATCACTGCTAGGCAAATCCCCGCCTTATCTTAGCTCATTGGTCACCATAGCAACAAGCACCCGTAGTATGCGCTCCAGCAGGTATATCTCACTGGTCATCCCCAAAGCAAACACCTCCTTTGGCCGCCATTCCTTCCAGTTCTCTGCTGCCAATGACTGGAACGAATTGCAAAAATCTCTGAAGCTGGAGACACTTATCTCCCTCACTAACTTTAAGCATCAGTTGTCAGAGCACCTTACCGATCACTGCACCTGTACACAGCCCATCTGAAATTAGCCCACCCAACTACCTCATCCCTATATTGTTATTTTTATATTTGCTCATTTGCACCACAGTATCTCTATTTGCACATCATCTATCATTCCAGTGTTAATACTAATTGTAATTATTTTGCACTATAGCCTATTTATTGCCTTACCTCCATAACTTGCTACATTTGCACACACTGTATATATATTTTCTGTTGTATTTTTTGACTTTATGTTTTGTTTTACCCCCATATGTAACTCTGTGTTGTTGTTTTTAAAATCGCACTGCTTTGCTTTATCTTGGCCAGGTCGCAGTTGTAAATGAGAACTTGTTCTCAACTGGCTTACCTGGTTAAATAAAGGTGAAATAAAATAAATAAAAAATACTTTCTCTCCCAAATGTATGAATAGAAAGATTGGAGCATAGCATAAGTAACCAATCCATCCAGTATGCATAATAATACAGTCCACACTCAAAGGCGATTAGTAATTTTGGAGTTTAGGCTAGACTAATTACATAGCAAAGACATCTTAAATAATGTTGTTTTTGTTTTTCTGCCATGCGTAATATGCAGTAGGCTATGTTTTGTATAATGGCACAATCATTATTTTAACTCAGGTTGTTTTTTTTCAGGCTTGGGCTCATACTGTATTTCAGCCTATGAGTATGCATAAGCTCTAATATGCATATGGGTTGTTTTTGAATGAATCATCACCTTAGAAAGCCCTGTCCATGTTGTTGGCTTTGAAACAACATCCACAATGACCATGTTTTCCCACTCAGTTTCAACCTGTTGTTGAACTTCTTTCTTCAAATTGATCAACCACAGTAAGGCGAGTTTGATGTGATTTCCGATTGCATTTGCATTGATGTCAGAGTGGTTAGAAGGACAACAGAGCCCCGAGTACCAGGCCATTAGCAACCTGATCACAGGAGGTTGGTGGCTTCTTAATTGGGGAGAACGGGCTCGTGTTAATGGCTGGAGCGTAATCAGTGTAATGTTATAAAATACATCAAACACATTTTTCTATGTGTTTGATGCCATTCCATTTGCTCAGTCCCAGCCATTATTATGAGCCGTTCTCCCCTCAGCAGCCTCCTGTGGACCTGATGGTCGTTAGCTAGTTGGGTACTACCAATGCATGTCCTGAGTGCATAAGAGGACATTACCATGACTCAACGGTCACATGGAATTTTACTGCAGTCATTACTCATGACTGCCAGTAATATGGTCACCGCAACAGCCCTACTCAGACAGAAACCTCCACAGAGCACTATAAATCCTTAAATCCAGGCAGGGATTAGGATTAATCACCTGCTGTTCAGTCCATTGATACCTTGGGGACTACTATGTTTCCATTCATAGTCAAACTTATACTGCTCTCTGCACCAGCTGAACAGGTAAAGTACAGGTATTTATAGCAGTCATCTCTTAACTTAGACCTGTCACTTCCAGAGCACACCTAATACCTTTCACACTCCCTCTCTACCTGCATAACATGTACTGTACCTGGTTGGTAGTTGGGAAGGGTGTATAAGAAGTATGTGTACCTGGTTGGTAGTCCCTGAGCTGTCGCTCCTGCTGAGAGCTTCCCCCTGAGAGGCGGAGACTGAGAGCGCAGACAGCTCAGAGGCGGAGCGTGTGGCGGAGGGAGGCAGGGTGTAGAGGGAGCGGGAGTTGTCGTGGTCCTCCTCCCCCTCGGTCCCCTGGTGACACAGCACCAGGTCCACCAGGTCCTCCTTCTCCCTGCATGTGTCTGTGGGGACGTTGCGTAGCAGCAGGTACTGCCGCAGGTCTTTGACCCTCAGCCGCATCAGCTGTGGTCTCTGGAAGGCCGTCCCCTTCAGCAAGTGGCATGTGGCACATATACGCAGGTTCTCCTGAAGCACGGAGCACAGAGTGCAGAAACTCTTCTTACAGTCGCAGCAGATATGCTGGGGGAAAGAGCGAGATAGTGTGTGCGCATTAAGCAGGTGAAGAGACATGGACAAAGAGTAATGTAGGCTCCAGGGCACACTGTGCCTTAATAGGATCCACAAAGCCTGACCAATACTCTAGGCTAATACAATATTTTGCATGTAGAATTTGTCTCCACTAAAACATTCATGCGGATGGAAGACTAAATCATGTCTCATTCAATCATTAAATCTTGCAATCATCTCCCTCTATACACCTTGAATGTCAAAGCAACACAGGTTCTTAATCTTCAATATAACTTTCACAGGCTATGTTGGACAGATGAGAGGATGTGGGGTATTGGAGCTCCAACAAGCCATGAGGAAGCAGAAGATCGATGTCTTTATACCATTACTGCATTTTTCAATCATGTGTATCTGTTCCCCTCCCTCTCCAGACATTTGGACGGGAGGCAGGCAGTTTATTTCTTTCATGTCACAAACATCAAACAGTAATAACATGCAAATGGCAGGATTAAGCGCTGTGTTGGCATGGTGACTCAGAGCAGCAGAGGGACCAGTTCAGACAGAGTAAAGGAATTCAACCCTGCAATATGGAGATGACATCTCCCTCTGTCATCACAACACAACCCTTTGACTATTTGCATTGACCCCCCTTTTTTTACACTGCTGCTACTCGCTGTTTATTATCTATGCATAGTCTCTTTACCCCTACCTACATGTACATATTACCTCAATAACCTCGACTAACCTGTACCCCCGCACATTGACTTGGTACCAGTACCCCCTGTATATAGTCTCGTTATTGTGTTACTTTTTTACTTTAGTTTATTTAGTAAATATTTTCTCAACTCTTATTTTTCTTAAAACTGCATTGTTGGTTAAGGGTTAAGCATTTCACGGTAAAGGTCTACACCGGTTGTATTCGGCGCATGTGACAAATAAAATTTGATTTGGAGTGTAGCAATTACCTCTGCTGTGCCATGGGCTTGTAGTAAGTGCAGTCTCATGAGTCTCATGACGTAACTGGCTGTATTCAGCATATCCTATTTTAGCTCTCTCGGAGGACACATCAGATTACGTCTAAAGGACAGAACTAATCAACATTGGCCCTTACTTAACAACATGTAGGCCTACTGTAGTAGGGTGTGTCTGAGGATGAGTGGCAAAAGAAACAAGAGGGCTACTCTGATCAAAAGTCTAATCTAATAAAATATCTAAGAATATCGGTGTATTCAATTTGATAGTGTCTCCTCAGTCAACACCAATTATAAACTATTCTATGGCTCAAATACCCAATCAGGTTCCTTCTTGGTCACCCCAAAGCCTATAAAAACACCCGTAACCATCTGGGACAAGCCTACAATCATATAGGCCATTCACACAGTAAGTCTACTAGCTGCCCCAATGGTCCCCAAACCCAACACCTACCTTCCTCCTGAAGACGGAGAAGGCCTGGCCACAGGCCTTACATACGAGGCTGGGGCTCCCTGAGGTTGTGGGTGGATATGTGGCGTATCCTGCGCTGGGGGCAAACCGGAAGGGTCCGGCACCGGCTCCGAACCCAGGCTGCTGACCTCTAACTACCCCTGTGCCCATGACTTCATTCAGCAGACCACAGCATGAAGCCCACATGGACGAGGCCCCCGCCTGGAGAACACAGACAGCAGTGTTTAGAGACTGCAGAGCTCCACAGACGTAAAAAGGTGTCACCACCTCAGTGAGGTATCCCTGTCAAACATCACCAGCAACAGTCCTGTAGTGTCGACAAGCCTCCTCTAATTGAGCTGGGACCCATCTGTGAAACACCAGACAGCCTATATTCATTATCACAGTGGAATCTACAAACGGATTGGCTTGATGCCGCAATGTAATGCACACAGGTTATTGCAAGTCTTAAAACATCTCCTAAAAATAGAGTGGTCAAGGAAACACTGGCTATTATACTCTTAATATTGCAGCCACAGGAGAGGCTGGAGGCATCACTTTGTTATGGCTGAGGAAATTAAAAGCATAGACCATAGCTCTGTGGTGACTGAGGACGGCACAATAGACTAGACATGCCCAGGAACTGCATGCTGACCAGCCCTAAATAGACCTACATCTAGCACATCCTAACAAACTTTCTCTAAATGGGATACTTTGTCTGCAGGGGAGAATGTGTGAGAAAGCAAAGGTGTGTAGTGGAGAAATGATTAATGCATCAGATAAACTAACAGACTAATTACCTCGATGAGTGGCTGCAAATGATAACTTGATATCTGTTCCCTTGCCATTTAATACTAGAGAATGCATTCCCCTGTATTAACATGGGAAGATAATTCCACAAACTAAATTTCAGTTCAGCTCCCATCTCTATCAATGAGGTAATCCGTTTCCAAACGTTGGCCCTATCATTTTCCCATTACTTTTGATCCTAGTCTCTGTTACATGAACAATAGTACTGAGCAGTAGTCAACTAGAGGAATATATTTACTCAGACAACAGGTCAATTTGTGCATAAATTGGTGTACTACTGTTGTTAATACTGTTGTAATACTGTTCCATTTTCTGCTCTCAAGTTGTTAGTCTAAATGTGAGTCTGTATTCATATTTACATTTTTTTGATGCGTTGTGGGGGTGTTTCTCTTGAAGGTGCAGTTTCTCCTGGTAAATCAGCTTGTGTACATTGACTTGTACCTGCATTGAGCCCCCTACTGATCTGAATTATACAAGGTTCTACTAATCATCCACTCATATCTGCAAAATACCACAGTTGTCTCTAAGTTTGAGATTGTATCATGATTAAATTAAATAAAGTATTTGGTCGTATCCTTACTAATGCATATTCATTGAAGAGAGATAGTACAACAATAAAAAAAAAGTTGAATTAAGTGGGCAACAATGTGATAATTTTATATGAACATTATAACTCCCACTATAAAGGCTAAACGTCAATACACCCAATGAGCGTTAGGATTTCTACAGATGTGGAACCAAACAGCCTAAAGACAACTGTAACATAAATTCCAAAAAATCAATCGACAAGAAGCTTTCTTCCTAGGAGGGAGGATTTGAACTATGTATTAAATCACAAATATCAGTCACAAACAAGGAAAGATTAACGGTGCTAGCTAGTACCCTAGCGTTAGATGCAAAACATAAAGCCATTACTGTGCTACTCTTCCTTGGTCGACTCGTGGGGGTAATCATCAATAGTAATGACATTGAACATTAATACTGGTTATCGAGAAACTGCCTGGATACACTGTGTAATCTAGCTAGCTAGCTCTTATATACGGTTAGAGAAGACAATCTAGCTAAAGTAGCTAGCTAACTAGTTAGCCTATTTCGGCAACATTGTAGCTGTACCTAGTAGCTACATACTGACAGTAGCTAATAGCTAGCTGCATTAGTTACCAAGCATCAATCCTACAGACAGAGATGATTGAACTCAGCTCACTCAACATAGCTAACATTAGCTGGATATATATAGCTAGTTATCTATCTATTTATTGTTAGCTAACTAGCGTGTGTAAAAATAAAAAGAACTGTGAGCAATCTAACGTTAACTAGCATATTTGTTGACAGTCAACTAGCTAGCTTGACAGCAATGACCGACTGAGAATTGCGGTAAGTAGAATTTCAACTACAAATATCAGGAAAATAATTGTACCTTCATAGCAACTCCGGGTTGTGGAATTTGTGGCAAAAAAATGATAATCTGACCATTGCAACAACCCAGAGATCCTCACTTTATTACGTATTCTGTTCTTCTTCTGTGGGTTTAATGGCGGACTACAACCCAAAAAGGTGTATTGCCGCCACCAACTGGACGGGTTGAAACCAACACAAGGTAAAAAATTTTAAAAAAATAATAAAAATCCATACGTAATAGGGAAACTTAATCCACACAAATAAAAATAGTACATTGACAAAACAAAACTCCCACTTGTTCCTTCTTTCAAATATCTGTATCTCCCTTCTCAGGCTTTAGGGCCTGAGAGGGTGGTACTGCTTGTGACAAGATTCCATGTAACTCCTTCGCCTAGAAATCATTCAGCCCCAGGAACAGCTCCGCCACATTCACAATGATTTATATCTTCCTGGACCTTCTCTCCACCTTGGCTGTGTCATTAATCACCATAGCTATAAAGGCCACAAAGTCCACCTTCTTAACCTTTCAAATGTCAGGATCCTGCTGGTGAAAGGCAACCCCTGCAGCCTGCAGTGAAGGCCTATCCACCACCATTGACTCTTCAGGTGCACCATTCAAACCCTCAACCCTTTTAACAGCTGCTGCATATGAAATGCTTTGAACTCTTCCTTCCTTCCACCAGCATCTGGAGCTTTAAGGGAGACAGCGGGCGTGTTCGAGCGGATCAATTTTGTCAAGTCGTTGACGCCTTCCAAAGTGTGTTGCATTATGGGGATGTGCCTACATGACTGCCTGCATGAACTTCATGAAAACCATGTGATTAAAGTTCATGAAGTTTTGACCGCAGTCGACTGCAAATTTCTGCAGTTGCTCTTCACCAACTACTGCCGCATTCATGTGCTAGTTAGAACTAGGAAACTCTGAAATTTCCGACATGGTTGAACGCAGCACGTGCATAGAGTACCACAGTGAGTCATAATACCCTTAAAACCTAGCAGTCAAAAAGGCAAATGGTTCCAATCGTTCACCTGTATATTCACTTGTATTTACCCCCCTAAAATGAAACACTAATTAGCTGCTAATGTGGCTATCATAAAGAACTAAAAATGCCATGATGATCTGGACGAGACTGAAGAATTGAGGCATGGTTATCAAAATGTCACACCAGGGTAAGCCTAAACAAAACACAGCCCTTATTTTAAGTGTTTCTAAAATCCCCTAAAGGAAAAATGAATGGTGGAAAAACTATTGGAACCATTTCCCTGTTTGACCGCTAGGTTTTATGGGTATTATGACACGTCCACTGTGGGGCTCTATAACTGCAACCAGTTAGCAAGTTTTACATTTCAAAGTTTCCTAGTTCCGACTAGCACTTGAACATGGCATTCATCTTGCCGCCATCACCTGTATTGTGGGAGGCTCTATAGACCACGCCAGCCTTGAGTTCAATCATTCCTATGGCAAAAATAAATAGGAAAGGTATAGGGTTTTGGGATAAACGCCGAAAATAAGGTCTGAGTTTAAGACAAGCTTAGGAGATCTTATGTGTTTTGTTCTATGAGATATCAGTCAGTTAACATGATCTTTATGAATTATGACCCTTTATGTGCTTTTTAAATTACATAAATGCAGAAAAATTGACAAAAAGTGACGTTAGCTGATGTAGATTACTTAAGCATCTAAAGTAAAAGTATAAATCATTTCAAATTCCTTATATTAAGCAAACCAGACGGCACTATATATATATATATATATATATATATATATATATATATATATAATATTTTTTTTGTATAGTCAGGGGCACACTCCAACACTCCATCATTTACAAATGAAGCATGTGTGTTTAGTGAGTCCGCCAGATCAGAGGCAGTAGGGATGACCAGTGATGTTCTCTTGATACAGTGAGGGAAAAAAGTATTTGATCCCCTGCTGATTTTGTACGTTTGCCCACTGACAAAGAAATGATCAGTCTATAATTTTAATGGTAGGTTTATTTGAACAGTGAGAGACAGAATAACAACAAAAAAATCCAGAAAAACACATGTCAAAAATGTTATAAATTGATTTGCATTTTAATGAGGGAAATAAGTATTTGACCCCCTCTCAATCAGAAAGATTTCTGGCTCCCAGGTGTCTTTTATACAGGTAACGAGCTGAGATTAGGAGCACACTCTTAAAAGGAGTGCTCCTAATCTCAGCTTGTTACCTGTATAAAAGACACCTGTCCACAGAAGCAATCAATCAGTCAGATTCCAAACTCTCCACAATGGCCAAGACCAAAGAGCTCTCCAAGGATGTCAGGGACAAGATTGTAGACCTACACAAGGCTGGAATGGGCTACAAGACCATCGCCAAGCAGCTTGGTGAGAAGGTGACAACAGTTGGTGTGATTATTCGCAAATGGAAGAAACACAAAATAACTGTCAATCTCCCTTGGCCTGGAGCTCCATGCAAGATCTCACCTCGTAGAGTTGCAATGATCATGAGAACGGTGAGGAATCAGCCCAGAACTACACGGGAGGATCTTGTCAATGATCTCAAGGCAGCTGGGACCATAGTCACCAAGAAAACAATTGGTAACACACTACGCCGTGAAGGACTGAAATCCTGCAGCGCCAACAAGGTCCCCCTGCTCAAGAAAGCACATATACATGCCCGTCTGAAGTTTGCCAATGAACATCTGAATGATTCAGAGGAGAACTGGGTGAAAGTGTTGTGGTCAGATGAGACCAAAATTGAGCTCTTTGGCATCAACTAAACTCGCCTTGTTTGGAGGAGGAGGAATGCTGCCTATGACCCCAAGAACACCATCCCCACCGTCAAACATGGAGGTGGAAACATTATGCTTTGGGGGTGTTTTTCTGCTAAGGGGACAGGACAACTTCACCGCATCAAAGGGACGATGGACGGGGCCATGTACCGTCAAATCTTGGGTGAGAACCTCCTTCCCTCAGCCAGGGCTCAAGAATTAGCACATTAAGGACCTGGAGTGGCCTAGCCAGTCTCCAGACCTTAATCCCATAGAAAATCTGTGGAGGGAGCTGAAGGTTCGAGTTGCCAAACGTTAGCCTCGAAACCTTAATGACTTGGAGAAGATCTACAAAGAGGAGTGGGACACAAAATCCCTCCTGAGATGTGTGCAAACCTGGTGGCCAACTACAAGAAACGTCTGACCTCTGTGATTGCCAACAAGGGTTTTGCCACTAAGTTCTAAGTCATGTTTTGCAGAGGGGTCAAATACTTATTTCCCTCATTAAAATGAAAAACAATTTATAACATTTTTGACATGCGTTTTTCAGGATTTCTTTTCTGTTATTCTGTCTCTCACTGTTCAAATAAACCTACCATTAAAATTATAGACTGATCATGTCTTTGTCAGTGGGCAAACGTACAAAATCAGCAGGGGATCAAATACTTTTTCCCCCTCACTGTAAGTGTGTGAATTGGATCATTTTCCTCTTCTACTAAGCATTCAAAATGTAACGAGTACCTTTCAGTGTCAGGAAAAATGGATGGAGTGTACTGAAGTAAAAGTAAAAGTTGTTAAAAATATTAATTGTAAATTACAGATACCCATAAAAACTACTGAAGTAAAATATTTTTACTTAGATACTTTACACTACTGACTACATTCCTAAAGGTATCTTTGCTTTTACTCAAGTATGACAATTGGGTACTTTTTCCACCACTGAAATGTAGTAATAAACAGATTAGGAATATTGTTTGTGATACTGCATTTCCCTCAGTAAGATTTTTTTGGTTGAATATCTATGGTGATATACTGTAAGGGGAAAAGCATGGAAGATTCCTAACAAATATTGTATCAGTAACAAGGTAAAGGAAGTTTCATTTAAAATGTTAACAAATAATTTATCCCGTGAAACATGTTTAGGAAAGATTCAAGCTGAATATTGATTATATTTGTGATTTCTATAGAATGGAGACCATTTTTCACATGTTTTTTTTACCTGTATTTATAGTATAATTTTTGGGATTGACATACAAAGAAACATGTTATACAATTGAATGGTTTTGATATAATGATTTATTTCAGAAATTATGATATTGATAAGGATGTAGTATATTTAATTCAACAGCTAATAATAATAATAAGTAAATGTCATATCATAAAATGCAAATGGTCTGATTTTAAAACCGGACTTCTTTCACTTTATAAAGGAATTTAAACAATATGGCACAACTTAAAAAACTAAAAGGCAATTAAAACCTCTAGTATTATTAATGAATACGATTTGTTTGTGTAGGATTTCTGGCAATTTAAAAGGTTTTATGTATGTTTTTTTGTATGTGACTATTCCTCTTTTGTTTGTTGATGTTTGTTGTTTGTTAATAAAAAGAAAACAAATATATCAAGAGTTAAGTATAAATTGTGTGAACTATGTTTAAAAATGGGATATGTACAATTGGGACATTAACATGAATAAGTAGGCCTGACCTACATGAAGGGAAATGATGGTACTATGGCAAATCTAAAATATCATGGAGAAGACGATATCCATCATATTAAAATAATGTCAAATGTAGTAGAAAATAAATGAATGGGAGTTTCTTGTTGTGCTGATAGGACCAATCGATCCACTCTATGTACTGACATCTAGAGGCGTGGCCATGTAGCAACGTCATTAGAGAGGGACAGAAGGAGGGCAGTTTGAAGCAAAACTGACGGGGTGGTAAAAGTAAACATGTTTTAAAATCCATACAGCTAGCTACCAAAATACTACTGTCAATATTGCCTTATGTGGCAGACTATAAATTGCATAAGTCAACTTGTCAAAAAAGTAGCTCACAAAAATATAAGATAGTTAGGTAGTCTCTCAAGTAGTTAGCAAGCTAGCGTGTTTAGCTAGCAAGGAAGTCACCCTAGCTAACGTTAGCTAGCTCGATAACATGGTTTGCGAATTGTTGCATGTTTTTCTTGATTATTTGGCTTCATACAACGCAGTTGAAATGTAACTTTATAATATTTAGCAAGCTAGCTAGCGAGTTAACTTTCCAATTTAAACAATGGCAAGCGTACATGAAAGTTTGTATTTCAACCCAATGATGACAAATGGGGTGGTCCATGCCAATGTCTTTGGCATCAAAGATTGGGTGACTCCGTATAAAATCTCCGTTCTGGCCTTGCTCTATGAGATGACCACGTCAAAACCAATTGCTCTTCAGGAAAGAAGGCGCTTGAACAAACTCATCCTGCCTCTACAACAGGTTGGAATATCTATTGATCACATTACAACTTATACTTTCAACTGTCAATTGCTTGCTTTTCTTTATCAAAGGTTTGTCTGTCTATCAGGGTCCAGACTTGACTCTTGGCCAATTCCTGAAGACTGTGGAAGAATGTTGCCCTCAAACAGCATTTGCTGTGAAACTCCGGTATGGACGAGTCCTTGACTCAATTGCTGTGGCCTAGGCCTATGTTTAGTGTAAGAGGTCAGTGCTGCATGTTATCTGCTCTTTCACCACACACATTTTCTCTTCACAGGTTACAAGAAATGGCTGATGGAGAGCTGAAGGACATGGAATATTTCTTTGCCACCCTCCCCACTCCTTTCAGCGCTATTGATTCTGAGGCGTATAAGACCAGTGTTGTTGGTGAGTAATCGTATGCATCATTTGATTCAAAAGTCCAAAGGTTGGATCAACTGAGCATCGTGTTTAGTTAGAGAGCGGTGCTGTATGATTTTCCTTAGAATTTATGGCACATGATCTTGTCTTCTTTATGTTTTCTCAGGCCTGTTCATGAGACACATGCTCCTGGCCTACAACAAGCTGTCTTTCAGCCAGGTGTACAAACTGTACAAAGCCCTGCAGCAGTACTACCACAGTCACTACGCCCAGCCTGGTGATGTCCAGGTGGGGCTGCCTGCAGATGACTCTGACATGGACCTCACCAGCACAGAGGACACAGTAGGGGAGAGGATGGAGAAGGAGGAGCTGGACACTGCACCGCTGCATGAGTCTGAGCTAAGGTTTGTATAATTCCCTTGTATAAGTAAAAGCAGAGGTGGTTGTAGAGGGAGTACTGTGTTAGTATTGATTACATTTTAGTAATTTAGCAGACGCCCTTATCCAGAGCTACTTACAATTTACAACTCTTTGAAGTGGTAGGGTTTCAAATGTTTTCGGAAGATGGGCAGGGACTCTGCTGTCTTAGCTTCAGGGGGAAGCTGGTTCCACCATTGGGGTGCCAGGAAGAGAAGCGCTTTGACTGGGCTGAGCGGGAGCTGACCCCCGTAGGGGTGGAACAGCCAAGAGACCAGAGGTTGCAGAGCGGAGTGCTCGGGTTGGGGTGTAGGGTTTGAGGATGGCCTGAAGGTAGGAAGGAGCAGTTCCCCTTGCTACTCTGTAGGCAAGCACCAGGGTCTTGTAGTGGATGCAAGCTTCGACTGGAAGCCAGTGGAGTGTGCGGAGGAGCGGGGTGACATGGGAGAACTTGGGAAGGTTGAACACCAGGCATGATGACATGTAGTAATCATTCTCATCAGTGTGATGGTCATCAGCTTATCCTTTGCACATTTCTCTTTTTCCTTATTTGCTACCTTTTGTTCTATAGAAATGAGGATGCCCCGAGCAGAGGCCCACTCTCGCAGAAGCAAGCAGAGTACTTTCTTGCTAGACAGGCGTACCTTCTAAAGAATGATGAGAACAAAGCCCTGAAGCCAGCTGCCCTGCAGGACGAGCTGAACAACATGCTCAAGTTCAACCCTGACTTTGCTGAGGCGGTGAGGCTCTACTATCATATAATATGGACTCACCCAAACAAACATGACATAAAATATGTCTTGAACAGAAAGTGAGTTTTTCAGTGATTTCCGGTCAACCTGATTGTGCTTGAGGCAGCTGTTGTGTGTTTTGTGACTCTGCAGCATTACCTGAGCTACCTGAACAGCATGCGAGTCCAGGACATCTTCATCTCCACCCACAGTCTGTTACATTACTTTGACCGCCTCATCCTGTCGGGAAGCGAGGGAAAGAGCAACGGGGACGAAGGATACGGGAGAAGTCTCCGCTACGCTGCCCTCAACCTGGCAGCACTGCACTGTCGCTTTGGGCACTAGTGAGTAGTGGTGGGGAAAGTTTGTGTCAATTTAAGTTGCAATTTATTTATGCAATATTGATTCATGTCAAAATAAAAATCAACTCCAACTCTTGACTTAGTCAACAGGCTGACCTGGCTCTACAGGAAGCTATCCGAATCGCCCAGGAGTCCAATGATCACGTTTGCCTGCAGCATTGCCTGGTAGGAGCTTTTCCTTTTGTGTTATGCTCTACATACAGTATTTACACAATATGGGTGGTCAAGGTTGGTCCGTGTCTATACCTTGTATCACTTTCTCAGCACCAATACTGTACCTGTGTAATCATCTATGAATGTCTTTGTATCTCTTTCAGAGTTGGCTTTATACGCTGGAACAGATGAAAGGATCTGACAGTTCTGTGCTAACTGAGGACTCTGTGAAAATGGCTGCCCACTTCTGTCTACCGGTAAGAATAGCATGACCGTGCAGAGAAGACTGGAGCACTCCAGGTTCTCGTACCGTTTTATGCAATACATTCAGATAATAGGCAGAATCTACCGCACACCCAAAGCTGATTTGTGAAGGTGGTGGAGGCAAAAGGCAAAACAGGAATAAGTCTCCGCACACTTCCAGCCAGATGTTAATTTATTTAAATTATAGCTGAGCTTTCGGTCAGTCGACATTCATCAGAACATATCTCCACAAACAATAGTGGGACAGATAATGCCACACAGCGAGCCAGAGGTAATTGCAGACACCTGTGGTAATCTAAAGTACCCACAAGGGCCACAAGTTCTCATATCAGATAGCAATACAGGATAGAACAGAACATGTTATAGATGTATTTCTACTCTAACAAAAACGCATGTACACAGGGAATGTGGTGTTGTCATAAGGAACCCATACCCTCAAAGAGAGAGCAATAAAGCCGAAAAACTTTAAAAGGAAAGAAAAGGAAAACATATACATCGCTATATACAGTGTATTCGGAAAGTATTCAGACCCCTTGACTTTTTCCACATTTTATGTTACAGCCTTATTTTAAAATTGATTAAATAGTTTTTTACCCTAATCAATCTACACACAATATCCCATAACGACAAAGCAAAAACAAGTTTTTAGAATTTTTAGCAAATTTCTAAAAACATTAAAACAGAAGTTACATTTACATAAGTATTCAGACCCTTTACTCAGTACTTTGTTGAAGCTCCTTTGGCAGTGATTATAGCCTTGAGTCTTCTTGGGTATGACACTGCAAGCTTGGCACACCTGTATTTGGGCAGTTTCTCCCATTCTTCTCTGCAGATCCGCTCAAGCTCTGTCAAGTTGGCATGGGGAGCGTCACTGCACAGCTATTTCCAGGTCTCTCCTTAGATGTTTGATTGGGTTCATGTCCGGGCTCTGGCTGGGCCACTCAAGGACATTGAGACTTGTCCCGAAGCCACGCCTGTGTTGTCTTGGCTGTGTGCTTAGGGTCGTTGTCCTGTTGGAAGGTGAACCTTCACCCCAGTCTGAGGTCCTGAGCAGGTTTTCATCAAGGATATTTCTGTACTTTGCTCCGTTCATCTTTCCCTCGATCCTGACTAGTCTCCCAGTCCCTACCGCTAAAAAACATCCCCACAGCATGATGCTGCCACCACCATGCTTCACCGTAGGGATGGTGCCAGGTTTCCTCCAGACGTGACGCTTGGCATTCAGGCCAAAGAGTTCAATCTTGGTTTCATCAGACCAGAGAATGTTGTTTCTCATAGTCTGAGAATCCTTTAGGTGCCTTTTGGCAAACTCCAAGCGGGCTGTCATGTGCCTTTTACTGAGGAGTGGCTTCCATCTGGCCACTCTACCATAAAGGCCTGATTGGTGGAGTGCTGCAGAGATGGTTGTCCTTCTGGAAGGTTCTCCCATCTCCACAGAGGAACACTGGAGCTCTGTCAGTGACCATCGGGTTCTTGGTCACCTCCCTGACCAAGGCCCTTCTCCCCCGATTGCTCAGTTTGGCCGAGCAGCCAGCTCTAGGAAGAGTCTTGGTGGTTCTAAACTTCTTCCATTTAAGAATGATGGAGGCCACTGTGTTCCTGGGGACCTTCAATGCTGCAGATATTTTTTGGTACTCTTCCCCAGATCTGTGCCTCGACACAATCCTGTCTCAGAGCTCTACGGAAAATTCCTTCGACCTCATGGCTTGGTTTTTGCTCTGACATGCACTGTCAACTATGGGACCTTATATAGACAGGTGTGTGCCTTTCCAAATTATGTCCAATCAATTGAATTTACCACAGGTGGACTCCAATCAAGTTGTAGAAACATCTCAAGGATGATCAATGGAAACAGGATGCACCTGAGCTCAATTTCGAGTCTCATAGCAAAGGGTCTGAATACTTATGTAAATAAGATATTTCCGTTTATAATTTTTTATAAATTTGCAAACATTTCTAAAAACCTGTTTTCACTTTGTCATTATGGGGTATTGTGTGTAGATTTTAGGGATTTATTTTAGTCAATTTTAGAACAAGGCTGTAACGAAACAAAATGTGGAAAAGGGGAATGGGTCTGAATACTTTCCGAATGCACTGTGCATATGTAGAACCAGGAGAAATCTAGACAAAACTAGATAAAAGTTAAGGTAACCTGTTGGGGAAGTATCAGCCACTAGGGCCATCATGAATACAGGACACCCTAATACCAGGGAGGGTGTGTGTGAAGCTAAGATGATGACAATAGGAATTACAACATGACCCTCATCAAAATCCTCATAAAGTCCTAACGGCTGTAGGGTGCCTAAAGTATGAATCCAGAGGAGTTCTCTCTAGCAGAGGTTATGGTCATTAGCTCCTCCTCTTGGTGACACTTCCACTTTCTCAATACCCTGGAATTGTAGAGAAGGCGCACTGGATAAAGTGAAACGCAACAGAGTAATTTTCATCCTTGCGTCTTATAGAAGAAGTCTTATGTTCACTTGTTCTCTGTTTCAAGCTTCTGTATGTCTTGCCCATGTACATGTTATCACAAACACAGCGTAGGATGTAAATCACGTTTTGTGTTGCATGTGATCATGCCTTTAACACTATATTTTTCCAGACCTAGGGTGTCGGAACTGTTCTTTTTTGGTGATGTTGCACTGAGCACCATTTGCCACAGGGGTAATTTATATCTCTCAGGGGAGTAAGGAGGGTTGTTTAGAAACCCTGTAGACGCTGGCTCGGACTAGTCTACTGCGAAGACTGGGGCCCCGTTTGTAGATTAATAAGGGGGGGGGGGGGGTTCTTGAATTCCTGGCTGAGTGCCCGGGTCTGAGGTGAGCATATGCCAGTGCTTCATCACTATGTTTTTAATCATAAAGGCTTTGGGCGTGAATTTACACTGAACTAAAAGAGAAACGCAACATGTGAAGTGTTGGTCCCATGTTTCATGAGCTGAAATAAAACATTTAAAATAGAAAGGAAAACGCCGCACACTGCTGCTCATGCTTTAGGTCTTCATCAGGCGTCCTGATCACCTGAGAGCATGAGAAGCAGTGTGCAGTGTTTTGCTTTTGATTTTCCATGAGTTCACCTACAACTCCAGCACCTGCAGAAAGTACCTGGATGTGCGCATGTTCTTCAGCTTTTGTACTGAAATAGAAAATCCCAGAAATTGTCAGTTCGCACAAAAAAACGTATTTCTCTCAGATTTTGTGCACAAATTTGTTAACATCCCTGTTAGTGAGCGTTTCTCCTTAGCCTATATAATCCATCCACCTGACAGGTGTGGCATATCAATAAGCTGATTAAATAGCATGATCATTACACAGGTGCACCTTGTACAGGGGACAATAAAAGGCCTCTTTAAAATGTGCAGTTTTGTCACACAACACAATGCCACAGATGTCTCAAGTTTTGAAGGAGAATGCCATTGGCATGCTGACTGCAGGAATGTCCTCCAGATCTGTTGCCAGATAATTGAATGTTCACTTCTCTATCATAAGCTGCCTCCCACGTCGTTTTAGAGAATTTGGCAGTACGTCCAACCGGCCTCACAAAACCGCAGACCACGTGTAACCACGGCAGCCCAGGACCTCCACATCTGGCTTCTTCACCTGCGGGATCGTCTGAGGGGGGGTGCTGAGGAGTATTTCTGTCTGTAATAAAGCCCTTTTGTGGGGAAAAACTCATTCTGATTGGCTGTGCCTGGCTCCCCAGTGGGTGGGCCTGGCTGCCAGTGGGTGGACCTATGCCCTCCAAGGACCACTCATGGCTGCACCCCTGCCCAGTCATGTGAAATCCATAGATTAGGGCCTAATTTATTTATTTCAATTGACTGATTTCCTTATATGAACTGTAACTCTGTAAAATCGTTGAAATTGTTGCATGTTGCGTTTTTATATTTTTGTTCAGTATAGTTGAACTTGAGAACTAGAGAAGCTGTTCACAGAGGAATTCACTAGGTGGTGACATTTCTCCATCACGGTCCTGTAGGTAATATCCCAGTGCATCTAGGCCTTTTTCATGAGAGATATTCGTGTAGAGCAGGGGTGTCAAACTCATTTTAGCTCAGGGGCCACATGGAGGAAAATCTATTCCCAAGTGGGCCGGACCGGAAAAACCATGGTATATATAACTTAAAAACAACAACTTCAGATTGTTTTCTTTGTTTTAATACGATCAACATACAACATAAAGCTGGAGCCTGAGGACAGTGTGTCCAAAATAGTACAAGCACAACATCACTATTAATCATAAAACACGTCAAGTTTATTTGAAAATTCTAAAGAAAAAGAACACACAAACACACAATGCCTCAGTGATTAACAGAACTGTTTCACAGATCACAGAACTATATCAGGGTGTCATTTCTCAGGCAGAAATGTAGATAAAAATAATGAAATCCTGTTCCCCAAACAAGTGCAAGAACCACAGAGTCAAGAATAGGTTAAATATACAAATACAATAAAATCAATTAAAAACAATAGCACATCAACATAAAAACATATAAACATAAATCTGAAAGCGTTGCTCAAACTCCCGTAACAGTCCCGTTATTTTATCTTTGAACCGCTTCATGTCTGCCACATGTTGGGTCGCGCACACATTCTTCAGACAGGGGAAGTGAGCTGCATCACCACCGGCAAGTTGCGTCTCCCACAATGACAGCTTCAACTTGAAAGAACGTATGCTGTCATAATACTGCGTGACAACTTTGTTGCGCCCTTGCAGCTGTTTGTTCAAGTTATTCAGGTGCTCTGTAACATCCACCATAAATGCAAGGTCCGGCATTCCATCTGCGGAATGAAATTCTAACACTGGTTTGCCCTTTTCTTCCATGAACTGTTCAATTTCTTCTCGTAAATCAAAGAAACGCCTCAGCACAGCACCTCGGCTTAACCATCTTACCTCAGTGTGGTATGGCAGGCCATAGATGTGGTCTTTCTCTCTGAGAAGGCTGTCAAACTGACGGTGATTCAGGCTTCTGGATCGGATGAAATTAACAGTTTGGATGACCACCTTCATGACGTTATCCATCTTTAATGACTTGCAACACAAAGCCTCCTGGTGCAAAATACAGTGAAAAGTCAAAAAATCACGTCCTCCATTTGCAGATTGCACTTTCTCTCTGAACTTTGTCACAACGCCTGCTTTTTTCCCGATCATTGAGGGCGCACCATCTGTAGCCAGGCTGACAGCGCGGGACCAGTCCACTCCGACCCTGTCCAGCGCGCCGACGAGTGCGGTAAAAATATCAGCTGCTGTCATTGTATCTGTCATCGGCACCAACTCCACGAACTCCTCGGTGACGGTCAATGTGTCATCAACTCCGCGGATGAAAAAATGGCCAGTTGTGCAACATCTGTAATGTCCGTGCTTTCATCAATTGCAACCGAAAACGCAATAAATGACTTTACTTTTTGCTTCAACTGGCTGTCCAAATCCACTGAAAGATCGGAAATCCTGTCTGCAACTGTGTTTCTTGTCAGGCTGATATTTGCAAAAGCCTGCCGCTTTTCAGGGCACACAATCTCCGCTGCCTTCATCATGCATGTTTTTACAAATTCACCCTCACTAAATGGTTTTGAAGCCACTGCGATTTCATTAGCAATGAGGTAGCTAGCTTTCACTGCAGCGTCACTGATGTCTCGGCTGTGAGTAAACACAGACTGCTGTTTCTTCAGACCCGCCAACAGTTCATTCACCTTCTCTCATCTCCGCTGTCCTTGAAAGTTGTCATATTTGTCGGCATGAAGACTCACATAGTGGCGACGAAGGTTATATTCTTTCAGCACTGCAACATGCTCTGAACACACCAAACATACAGCTTTCCCATTCAATTCCGTGAATAAATAGGATGACCATTTTTCTTGGAACACTCTGCACTCTGCGTCCACTTTTCTCTTTTTTGACAGAGACATATTGGGGCAATGAGGGTGCCAAAGCACGTAATGTTAAAGTAGAAGCCGTAATAAATATCGCGGGCAAAACAAAGTAGCTCATTGGCTGCACGTGCTTGACCTACTTGCTCTGCCCCGGTATAAACAGTTTGCTTGCTTAACACAATTGCTATTGCGCCATCCAGTGGACGCAATTGGAACAGCAGTTTATTTTATTGAAAAATTGCAGCGCATTTTTATACTTTACCCAAAAAATTTTTTATTATTATTATTCTTATTATTTTTTTAAATCATCTCGCGGGCCGGATTAAACCCGTTTGCCGGCCTGATCTGGCCCGCGGGCCGTACGTTTGACACCCCTGGTGTAGAGGCTTTCTAGATCAGATGTAGCCAATATGATGTTGTCAGGGAGATTAATCAGTTCTGATATTTTATTAATCACATCTGTAGAATCTTTGACGAAGCTGGGAGTTTTTGCACAATCGGCTTAATTAATGAATCAACATAGTTGGAGAGTGGGTCTAGAAGAGAGTCTATACTGGCAACGATGGATCTGCCCTTATGTTTTAAACTGAGAGGTCAGGCTATGGGAGTTCAGTAGATCCAGGTGTTTACTAAGCCTCACATTACCTTCAGCCTCTCTCTCTCCTTGTCAGTACCTGGCGTCTCTGGGCATTCAGTCCCTAGTCCAGCAGGGGGCGATCCAGGGCAAGACAGCCCATGAGCTGATGGATGCTCTGAAGGACACAGACATCCTGCACTGGAAGCACAGCCTGTCAGAGCTTATAGACATCAGCCTAGCTCAGACTACGTCCATATGGAGAATGTATGGCAAGAGGTGGGTCTCCTTCACGCATCCTGATGCTCCCTGACAATCAGAATCCACACTGTACAGAATTCTAACCAGTGAGTTTATCTTTCAGTATAAAACCTGTTTTTTACTTGCATAGTAAAAAAAAAAGTGACTGTCAGTTATTGATGTCCAGTCTTGACTAATTTAATCCATCCAACACATATTCACTGACTGCATGTCTCCAACATCCATGTTCTGTCATGTCCTGTTGTACGTATGTGTTCTTCCAGCACCATGGCTCAGCAGCAGGCCCAGCTCCTCCTGAACATGAATAGCCTGGAGCAGGTTAACTTTGGGGTCCAGCAGAACAACACAGAGGCCTTTGCTGTGGCCCTCTGCCACCTGGCTGAGCTGCATGCTGAACAGGTACTGTAGTTAGTACACCTCATCCCACCTCTGTCTCTCCGGCTTCAGTCCCACTATCACATCTCCCTCGGTCCTCGTTTAGTCACTCAGGGCCGTTTCATAAGCATTGATGTGATCCAGATTACAGCTCAGGAGATGTGCACTTGTGTAGGCTGTTAGTGAGGCCTGCGCTAGTTACATGTTCCTGTCCCTCTCCCTCCAGGGCCTGTATGGCGCTGTGTCTGAGGTCCTGAAGCATCTGAAGGAGCAGTTTCCACCTCACACCCAACATGCCAAGGTGAGCCATTCTGAACTCCAACTCTTCTCTATCCATCAACTTTAGACTTGACCTCAATCCCCATGTTTAGCACTTTCCTATTGCTATAGTAAACAGAAACACCATTGCTCTCGAGTGGCGCAGCGGTCTAAGGCACTGCATCTCAGTGCTTGAGGCGTCACTACAGACCACCTGGTTCGATTCCAGGCTGTATCGCAACCGGCCGTGATTGGGAGTCCCATAGGGCGGCGCACAATCGGCCCAGCGTCGTCCGGGTTTGGCTGGTGTAGGCCGTCATTGTAAATAAGAATTTGTTCTTAACTGACTTGCCTAGTTAAATAAAGGTAAAATACAAATAATAGGCAATGTCACTGACATGGCTGGTATGAAGTGGGCTGTAGGGAACTAACTTAATTATAATGGTTTGTGTTCTCTATCACCAAGCTGTGGATGCTCTGTGACATCAAGATCCAGTTTGACAGAGCTATGAATGATGGGAAATACCACTTGGCGGAGCCCCATGTCACAGCCATTGCTGCCTTGAACAAAACTGAGGGTCTCTATAGGTAAGGAAGGGTCTTGACTCAGAACAGAGAACACCTTTACACAGTCTTCCAGTGTTGTAGCTATCTGTATGTGTGTCGTTCCACCAATTCAGTGCCTTTTGAGAAGTGTAACTTGGTCCAAAAAACCTTCTTGATTTCACCTAATTTCAACATTCTGTCATGAAGAGCACATGTTCAACTTCATGAAAAACATGTTTTCCCATCTCAAAAAAGGACTATACTAAGTGCCAAATAAAGTAACAGGGTATGCAGTAGCAGGGTTGACGGTTTCATCTTAAATCAGCTATAAATCCTCTCGTGACAGGGGGAATGGAAGCTTGTTTTGTGTAACAAGGAGTGGCAACTGAGCCTGTCTATCTATGGGTGTTACGCTCGACCCGCTCAGTTTTCTACCACAAAACACTAGAACATTAAAAAAAAGATTAGAACCAGCTCACCTGCTTTTTTACGCTATGATTTAACTATTAGATGTTACATAAAAAAAAAAAAAAGGAATAGTTTCACCTTTATTCAAATGAGAGTTCAGTTCACGTAACAGGGTTGACCTTAAAATGAGGTTCAGGCTTAAATGAATCACTAATCACATTAAATAAATAACAATCTTCCGATATAACTTTGTCAAAGTAACAAAATAATTTGGGCTTTACAATGATGGTGAAACTTGGAGAAATTTGGGGAATATGTGGGTTGAAATCTTCCTAGAAGTGACACAGGGTTGACGGAGGGACATTTATTGAATGTTGTCTATATTAAAGGGCACTTCATTTAATATAACAGGCTTTTAAAATGCAATATTGGCGCACAATTTCTATTTAAAATATCAAAGGGATGCAAAAGGCACTCTTTTCGTGGAACGACCCATGTGTATATCTGTCGTGTTAACAGGAAAGCTCAAGTGCTGAAGGCCTTGAACCGGACCACAGAAGCACACAGTATCCTGCAGAGGCTGCAGCTGTACTGTGAGAAGACCAAGTACACAGAGATGATCATCAGGTAGGCCAGCACTCTCTAAATGAAACACCAGACTCCATATCTGTCGATGGAGTCCTTGAATGTCGTGTGAATGTGTTTATCAAGTTGTCAAGGCTATTTTTGGGGTGTAAGGGTTGTTTATCAGATATGTGTTTTAGATATGTTTGTATGCATTGTGCAGGGTGATGCTGGCCACAGCTGAGCTACATTGGGAGTCGTCAGGTTTTGCCACAGCCCTTCCTCTCCTGCTGCAGGCCCTGGCCCTGGCCAGACAGCACCACCTACAGGCCCTGGTCTCCGAGACCATCCTTCATCTGTCTTTCACTCAGGTCAGCACAACAGACTCACACACGCAATATTTAACCCTGTTATGGCAAACACACCACTGTATACTCTGTATAAAACCCCTACACATACTCATACACACATATTCTCAGATATACACATCTTCAAACCCTTTAACTTAGACGGAATTGCATACTGTATGCAAAGCAAACTCCCACATTTAGGCAAAACAAGGAAATTCATACTGGTTTATATTTAAAAACTCCAATAGTTTGTGTTCTTCTCCTTCCCCCTGTCCAGTTGATGCTGGGAGTGCCGGAGCAGGCTCTGTGTGTCCTTCATGAGGCGATGGAGCCCATCCTGGCCCATGGAGCGGTCATGGATAAGGGCAGAGCTCTGCTGCTGGCAGCCCGCTGTCAGATGGCCATGGCTGGGACCCGGCCCAACGGCCAGAGGCATGCAGGTACCGCACATCCCCAACACCAAAACGTAATATCACTAACTACCTCAAAGAAATGTACATGTTTGTGGATACAATTACTTTGTCATGTAAGTACACAGACAGGAGTCGTTCAGAGTCTTCCTCCCTGTTGTCTCCCTCCAGCTTTGGGCCTGGCTGTGCAGACATTGGGCGAGGCTGCAGCCTACTTCTCCATGCTGGACTGTAAGGAGCGTCTCCGTGACGTCCACTACCTGCAGGCCCGGCTGCACCACACCCTGGGACAAACCCCCCAACGCAACAAATGTGCCATGCTGTTCCGCCTCCTGGACCAGGAGCTGCAGGCGCCGGGGGCAGCTGTTGCCATGCGACTCTGAACAGTCATCACCACCCTACCTTCTCCGACACAGACCGGTACATAAACTTTTGTACTCTGTCATTGTCATGGACTTCTCATTCTATCCTGTATTTTGGTTGAAATTACTGCATTACTTGTGTGTTAGAGTAGAGAAACAACTGGTTTAGGGCACTCCCAATTTACATTGCCAACTTGTATCGTCTATCTACAATATAAAGATCAGACTTCAAGTCTCTATAATCTTATTTCTCACGTTTGTTGTCCTTTTTTTTTGCAAAACGGAGAACAAGAGATTTTGTTCAACCTGAAAATGTTTGTCTGACAACCACTAGATGTCAAGCACAGCTATTGGAGAAAAGGTGCAGCCTGGTTTGGCCTCCCCACAAATGTAACGTTTATTTGCAGTAAAAACAGTTCCAACAAACGTAGGTGTTCCCCTCAGGACGTGATGGATAACTGTGCAGGATCCAGAGGCCTCGATATGGAAACCTAGATGCCTCCACTCCTCTTTGAGTAGCACCCACATAGTATTTGAATTTCAGCATACATACCGTTAGACAACAGTTGATCCTTTATTCAGGACCAGAACTATCTGATCCTTTAGAGGTAGTCATTGCCTCTGTTGTAGGATGTGGATAGAATAGATATGGACTATAGAGATAGATAGAGGTCTCGTCTGTGTATCTGTGCAATTATAGCGTCTGTGACGGTATGGGCAGCTCCATTGAGGCTATCTTCATTTTTAAGTAGTACATTTTCTTCACGATAGGCTAATCCCTCCTGATGACCCGGTTGGACATCACTCCAACAGGGTCAACAGGAGGGATCAGCCAATGAAGTTGGAGGTCCCACCCAGTTGACTACATTAACATGGTGGAAGCCCTCAAATATGCTGCCGATGCTAATTCTACCTTTTGGTCTCTAGAGGCCTCTATCATTCTCTATGATATGGACTTGAATGTAGTCATTTATCATGTTCTTCAAAGTCCCAGTGGTGGGATCCCATCATAGGTCAAAGATAGACATACAGAGATATCTAGCATAGAGGATCCGCAGTCTCATCTATGCTTAGAGAATGAGGAAGGTTTAATGTATCTGAGCTGTCGGAGAGGCAGTTTTACCACGATATGATGAATGAGAGTAATATCAGAGCCGGGCAGAAGATGAATATGTTTTAAAGAGAGCATTGTGATTTTTCTTCAGCTGAAAGCATGCCAATGAAAAAGGGAATCATTTTAGCGGAGGAAAATATTTCCCAGAGATATGTGCACATTAATGTAATAGTCCTGAGATTATTTGAAATTTATATCTTTGTGTGTGTGCCATAACGTGACGCAATCTGTGAGAACTGAGCTGAACAATGACACTGCACATTGTTTTTGTTAGTCTGGTGTAGATTTATGCAACCTGTGAGAGTGATCATTTTTTATTAGGTTAAGTTATTCAGCATACTCAGTCAGTGCCAGTCATGAGCGCCATTACGTTTACATTATCTCTTCATAATGGCATTGATCCAAGATCAGGGGTTATGAAATATTAGGATATTTTCAATTTCCCTTTGGTTTGTATACAGAAGAAGCTTAGGTAATGTTTTAAATGCTATTAGACTAACATTGGTATGAAAACACTGAAGTTTTATTACTGATAGGAAGTATTGCCACAGTGATGCAGCCCTGAGCCTTCAAATATTACATTCTGGGTCTTTTCAGAGGTACAAAGCAGAACCAATTTAGTTGAAAGCCAATGGAATATTTAACATTTGAGTGGGCTGGTTTTTGAGAAAGTTCTGCATGTCCCTCTCACATAAATGTATTGTCATCATTACTTGAACCTTTTTTGGTTGATGTCAACAGCTTACATTAGACAAAAAGAAAGTATGTTCCATTGCCCTATCAATCTTAACTACCATGTAGGTTTGGTCCAGATGTTAAAAGTTTTTGTATGTTTATTGGTATGTTTGCACAAGAAGCACTCTCTACGGCCCTGTGTGGGTTCTGAAATAAGCTACACGTCACCTTCGCTCTATAAACACATACAGTAGATCATGGGCCTCCATGGAACAGGAGACGGGACAGAGCCTGTCTGTGTAAATACACACAGACTCACACTGCATAATTCACTCTGCTGTTGTGTGCATGTGTTTATATCTCTAGAGAGAGATGGAGAGGGAGAGACTGACAACGGTAAGCTGCAGCCGTGGGATGGCCTGCTGTGTCTCTTCATCAGACAGCACTAGATAGGGCATGTGCCCAGTGATGCTAAATGTCCTCTGCACCAGTGGCCTCCCCTGTATGTGAGCACTGTGCATCAACACTGACACTACTCTGTTCAGGCCTGTGCTGTCAAGAGGATCACATTAGTCTGGGCCATGAGATATGTTCTATTAGCACAGTTAGATGAGATGTATCAAAGGATTGAAAAAAACCCTTGCTTTGCTATTTTTGTACGTAATATACAGCTTCAGTCCCGAATGTGTGATTTATTGGCTATGTAGCATCCTATACATCACTGGTCTATGGAAACACAGGCAGTTCAATGGCTTCAGTGATTAATCCATTTGGAGGCTTTTGTAAAAGCCACAGCTGGCGCCAAATGCCACGTCTTGCTAAGATTTGTCAGAAGGAAGCTGCTGGGTATTTTGTTCTTCAGACTGTTGAAGGAAGTCGAGCCCAATTTTTAGGTTGTAGGTGTAAAATTGTAGTTCAGTCAGTTGTTTAGACATAATGTAGCTGTTATTAATCTATTGTGTAAACCTTTCAACAGTTCTTTGGTTACAGTTATCGATGCAGAGAAAGAGGTCCCTAAGAATATGGGGAACAGGCTGAGTAATGTAAAATATATCTTATTTTAACATTTTTAATAACAAGCATGGCATGAGAACAATGCATGTTTAAAAAAATATATCTGCAAATGTAAAATACTCACTGTACTGCTACGGTCTTACTCGATATTAAACATTAACAATGTATGTGTCTTTCTCAACATTCTGCATCACAAAAAATATAAAAATACCATTTGAATAGGTAAATGGCAGCCATATTTGAGCCCTTACTAACAATAGGCCCCCATGGGCAATGGTCAGAGTTGAGATTAAATCAGAAAAACAGAAATCACAGTTTTCAGTTAACAGATCAGAATCTGCTTTCTCATGAAAGGAAAAATGTAGCTACCTGTGACCAACATCTTCATAAGGCAGATGGTAGACATGTAGCCTGGTTGCCTGATCTGTTTTCGCTTTAGCCAACCCATAAAGCACAAACAGATATAGCAACCTGACCAGTTAAGACCTGAGGTTAAGACCTGAGGTTAAAACATGCAGACCATTTTTCCTTGATGGAGAGATGAAACAGTCAATTCTCTACATTTGATTTGTTCAATGGACAGACAAACTACTTTGACAACCTTCCATATTGGTGTTCATATTCTCCCCTAAAACATTGCTTTTCTTAAATCTCAGATAAATGGCTATTTTTCTGTCAAACAGAAATATCGCTCATCATCACAGAGTAATTTGACTAATATGTTGGCTAATATTTCCTAGGCAAACTATTTCATAATGTATATCAGAAGATTAATGGCGTCCATTTAAGTTCTGGCCCATTGGTATTTACATCCAGCAGGAATCGAAAGTTGCAGTCCAGCGTTCTGCTACCCCACCGCATTGCATTAATAAACGTATTTCTTCAAGATAATCGATAATGATGATCTCTTGATACAGCTAGGATTAAAACATGCCATTCTCAGTTGCAACCTCACTTCTTTTTCAAAACACAAAAGTTAGTGATAAATAATGCTGAAATAAAAGCAGAAATGCTGCCGATTATTTGGTGTGAAGGGAGGAGGTATTGATGTGGAGTAAAGTCATTTTCCATATTGTCTTGAAATGAATTTCAGCTGAAGAACGAGTGGCTGTGTCACCTTGAGGCATTGTTCACGTGTCTTTGCAGATACATAGCTCTGTCCCTGCCTCTTTATGGAGGTACACTCCAGGTTTGGGAAGGAAGGGGTGAGGTCAGACTCAGTAGCCTGCTGGATGGCCCCCTTTCCTGGGGTCGGACTCGGCACAGAGCCACTCCCCCTGTCGCACCACCGCCTGAACCACTGAATCAGGAGTCATCAGCAGCTCTGTTACATGGTTCTTCTGTGCCAGGCCTTCTAATACACTCTTTTACACAAACACACACACACATGCATACATAAACACACAAATAAATACACACACACACACACATATTATATTCCAGAGCTACCAAATGCCTTTTCAAATCAATAAAACATTATTTTTATTTAATTTAACAATATACGATGCAATATTGTTCAGAATTACCCACCTTTTCAAAGCCGTCCTCCACTACAGTCATATTTGGGTTGAGTTGATTGTGAATTCGAGGTTGTGTCACAGCTTTTTTGAGGTCGTAGTCAAAGAACAAGGAATTCAGAATCACCTATGTAAATGAGAAAAGAAAGCTACTTGTACTCTGATTCATCACAATATCACTATGTAAGGATAGATGGCTGTCATGTGTTAGTGTAGGCTATATCTGTTTTAGAGAGTACATTTATGTGTATGGATCAAGACTTACTAGGGCAGTTGCTGTGGTGATCTTTGTTCCACCAGAGGCTCCCACCACCATTTTCACTCTATTGTCTTTGTCAGAGATAATAGTTGGGCACATAGAAGAGAGAGGCCTTTTACCTAAAAATGAGAGAGATCTAAATATTCAGACCAAAAGGTATTCTCATAAAACAAACCAGCCAAGGATCAAACTGGGGCCATGTGTAAATTGAGAACTTTCAGTAGCCTACCAGCAATAAGGATATCGATTTCAGTTCCTATTCTCACCAGGCTGGATGAAGTTGTTAGGAGATGGAGGGATTCCAAAGCCGTTGGTGATGTATGGAGAGCTGAAGTCATCCATCTCATCATTGAAAATAATGCCAGTGGATCGGGACATGACTTTTGAGCCAAAACTGAAGATAGGAATGATAGTTGAGTAACTATAGGAGTTAAGTAACCTATGCATGTTATTTTTGTGTTAAATGCAAATAGAACATTCTTAGTAAGACCATTGGCAACAAAGGGTGTTTAGAGTGCACATGTATACTATATTAATGATCTGTCTCTGGATATCTATAATCTACCCTGTTGCATTATGTATTCATCAGTCCTATTGTCTCAGAGGAGGCCTTGCCTTGTAGGACTCTTACTATAGATTGATTGTGCTGGTGGCAGCCACAGCACTTCCATCCTCAGCTATGACGGACAGGTGTGCTGTCCCATGATTGTCTGGGACAAAATAATCTGGCTCGTAGTAGCTGTCAGGATGAGTGGTGTCATCTGTGATCTTGCTCCTGATCCCGTCAGCAAAGTAGTCTGAGGTCATGTTGTGGATGAGCTGGAGGAAGATAAAATCATCAAACAGGAATTAGATGAATGACAGCAGTCAACAGCATGTCATTATAGAGCCTATTCAGTAAACAACTACAAACCATCTTTTTATTTAATAAATAAGTCAAATACAGTGCATTCGGAAAGTATTCAGACCCCTTCCCTTTTTCCACATTTTGTTACAGCCTTATTCTAAAATTGATTAAATAAAATCTACACACAATACCCCATAATGACAAAGTGAAAACAGGTTTTTAGAAATGTTTGCAAATGTATTACAAATAATAAACAGAAATACTTTATTTACATACAGTAAGTATTCAGACCCTTTGCTATGAGACTCGAAATTGAGCTCAAGTGCATCCTGTTTCCATTGATCATCATTGATGTTTCTACAACTTGATTGGAGTCCACCTGAGGTAAATTCAATTGATTGGACATGATTTGGAAAGGCACACACCTGTCTGTATAAGGTCCCACAGTTGGCAGTGCATGTCAGATAAAAAACCAAGCCATGAGATCGAAGAAATTGTCCGTAGAGCTGCAAGACAGGATTGTGTCGAGCCACAGATCTGGGGAAGGATACCAAAACATTTCTGCAGCATTGAAGGTCCCCAAGAACACAGTGGCCTCCATCATTCTTAAATGGAAGAAGTTTGGAACCACCAAGACTCTTCCTAGAGCTGGCCGCCTGGCCAAACTGAGCAATCGGGGGAGAAGGGCCTTGGTCAGGGAGGTGACCAAGAACCCGATAGTCACTCTGATAGAGCTTCGGAGTTCCTCTGTGAAGATGGGATAACCTTCCAGAAGGACAACCATCTCTGCAGCACTCCACCAATCAGTCCTTTATGGTAGAGTGGCCAGACGGAAGCCACTCCTCAATAAAAGGCACATGACAGCCCGCTTGGAGTTTGCCAAAAGGCACCTAAAGGATTCTCAGACTATGAGAAACAACATTCTCTGGTCTGATGAAACCAAGATTGAACTTGATCCTTGATGAAAACCTGCTCAGCACCTCAGACTGGGGCGAAGGTTCACCTTCCAACAGGACAATGACCCTAAGCACACAGCCAAGACAACACAGGAGTGGCTTCGGGACAAGTCTCTGAATGTCCTTGAGCGGCTCAGCCAGAGCTCGGACTTGAACCCAGTCGAACATCTCTGGAGAGACCTGAAAATAGCTGTGCAGCAACACTCCCCATCCAACCTGACAGAGCTTGAGAGGATCTGCAGAGAACAATGGGAGAAACTCCCCAAATACAGGTGTGCCAAGCTTGTAGCGTCATACCCAAGAAGACTCAAGGCTATAATCGCTGCCAAAGGTGCTTCAACAAAGTACTGAGTAAAGGGTCTGAATACTTATGTAAATGTAATATTCCAGTTTCTTATTTTTTATAAATTTACAAAAAATTATAAAAACCAGTTTTTGCTTTGTCATTATGGGGAATTGTGTGTAGATTGATGAGGGGGGAAAATAATTTTATCCATTTTAGAATAAGGCTGTAATGTAACAAAATGTGGGAAAAATTAAGTGGTCTGAATACTTTCCGAATGCACTGTGTATATACAGTACCAGTCAAAAGTTTGGACACACCTACTCATTCATTTTACATTTAAGTCATTTAGCAGACGCTCTTATCCAGAGGGACTTACAAATTGGTGCATTCAATTTAGGATAGCCAGTGAGACAATCACCCCCTTTTATTTTTTATGGGGGGGTAGGGTAGGGGGTGGGGTGGGTAGAAGGATTACTGTTATACTATTCCAGGTATTCCTTAAAGAGGTAGGGTTTCAAGTGTCTCCGGAAGGTGGTCAGTGACTTGGCTGTCGTGGGGAGCTTGTTCCACCATTGGGGTGCCAGAGCAGCGAATAGCTTTGACTGGGCTGAGCGGGAACTGTGCTTCCGTAGAGGTAGGGGGGCTAGCCACCCTTTGCCTTGATGACAGCTTTGCACACTCTTAGCATTCTCTCAACCAGCTTCATGAGGAATGCTTTTCCAACAGTCTTGAAGGAGTTCCCACATATGCTGAGCACTTCCCACATATTTGCTGCTTTTCCTTCACTCTGCGGTCCAACTCATCCCAAACCATATCAATTGGGTTGAGGTCGGATGATTGTGGAGGCCAGGTCATTTGATGCAACACTCTATCACTATCCTTCTTGGTCAAATAGCCCTTACACAGCCTGGAGGTGTGTTTTGGGTCATTGTCCTGTTGAAAAACAAATGATACTCCCACTAAGCCCAAACCAGATGGGATTGCGTATCGCTGCAGAATGCTGTGGTAGCCATGCTGGTTAAGTGTGCCTTGAATTCTAAATAAATCACAGACAGTGTCATAAGCAATGCACCATCACACCTCCTCCTCCATGCTTCATGGTGGGAACCACACATGCGGACATCATCCATTCACCTACTCTGCATCTCACAGAGACACAGCAGTTGGAACCAAAAATCTCAAATTTGGACTCATCAGACCAAAGGACAGATTTCCACCGGTCTAATGTCCATTGCTCGTGTTACTTGGCCCAAGCAAGTCTCTTCTTCTTATTGGTGTCCTTTAGTAGTGGTTTCTTTGCAGCAATTCGACCATGGAGGCCTGATTCACGCAGTCTTCTCTGAACAGTTGTGTCTGTTACTTGAACTCTGTGAAGCATTTATTTGGGCTGCAATTTCTAAGGCTGGTAACTCTAATGAACTTATCCTCTGCAGCAGAGGTAACTCTGGGTCTTCCTTTCCTGTGGCGGTCCTCATGAGAGCCAGTTTCATCATAGTGCTTGATGGTTTTTGCGACTGCACTTGAAGAAACTTTCAAAGTTCTGACTGACCTTCATGTCTTAAAGTAATGATGGACTGTCCTTTCTCTTTGTCTAGTTGATCTGTTCTTGCCATAATATGGACTTGGTCTTTTACCAAATTGGGCTATCTTCTGTATACACCCCTACCTTGTCACAACACAACTGATTGGCTCAAAGGCATTAAGCAGGAAATACATTCCACAAATTAACTTTTAAGAAGGCACACCTGTTAATTGAAATGCATTCCAGGTGACTACCTCATGAAGCTGGTTGAGAGAATGCCAAGAGTGTGCTAAGCTGTCATCAAGGCAAAGGGTGGCTACTTTGAAGAATCTCAAATATAAAATATATTTTGATTTGTTTAACACAACATGATTCCATATGTGTTATTTCATAGTTTTGATGTCTTCACTATTATTCTACAATGTAGAAAATTTAAAAAAATTAAGAAAAACCTTGGAATGAGTAGGTGTGTCCAAGCTTTTGACTGGTACTGTATATTTGTGAGTGAAACTTTGTATTTGAAGGCTGTGTATCAGGGTTCTCACATCAGTGATATTGAGATAGCGTGGATCCCCTAGTTTGCTCCTCTTGGCATAAGCAAACCGGAAAGCCTCCACGATGCGGTGATACGTCAGAGTCTTTTTCTTGGCCGTTGAGACACTTGTGCCAGTGAAGTTATACCCTGAAGAAAAAACACACAAAAAATGTTGATCTAAAAACTTTTTGACTCTATTGGGTCATCGGGGATTTCAAAATTCAACGGAGGGCTGCACTGATTTTTTGGGGACCGATTCTTTTGTCAAAATTAATTTGCGGGCCAGAAAAATAGGAGTTATTTGAAATTATATAGGTCCATTATCAAAAAAATAAAAAATAATCGGCTGGCGCGTCATATGGGGCCCACGGACCGTAGTTTTCCCACCTTTGATCTAATATATCAGCCAAAAAACAGAACTATATGTTCATTTATCAAAGATACAGTTTTAATGTAATTCAATGTTTCCATCACAGGGTCATTTCCGTCCGATTCCGTCCTTGTTTTTGCACAAACACTAGCAGCTATGGTTGATGTCAAGATGTAGGGGACTAGTGCAGTTTAGTTCATTTCCAGTGAGATAATGTCCAGAGAGCTTACAGCAAATCTCTCTTAAGATGAGATGAGAAACTGGGAGACCTTGTGAGCTGTTTTGTTTACAGCCAATTAGTGGTGGATGATGATGCCCCTCTGTGTCTAAAGCATGGCTAATGATCTTCTCCATGAGCACACTCTCTGCATCTGGTAAATTAGCTGTAGCTGGATTAGTGTAGAGGGGTGGTGGTTATGGAGGGGGCGGAAACACTGTCCTAGGGGGTACAGTGGAAGGAAACCTGACATCCTCTGGTCTGCATGGCTGAGTTCAGACTCAGAGTTATCTAGGCTGCTGCTCACCGTCCACTATGTTGAGTATGAGTGCCAGGACTGGGCCGCTGGAGGGGGCGTCTGGGATGTGCATGGTGTACTCCCCCACGGTCAGCTTCAGTGGGTTCTCATTCAACACAGGCCGGTACTCCAGCAGGTCCTCCAGGGTGATAATCCCACCTGAGAAGAGAAAATAATAACTGCTCAAGAAGCACATCGACAAACTGCCTATCAGATCTGTCTCGCCTGATCATCATCAAAGTGTTTACAGCAAGAATGATGAGCTTTAATATAATATTATAATGCACAAGAAATAGAGAAAGACCTGCTGCTTGGATGTCATCCACAATTGTCTGTGCCATTGTCCCATTGTAAAAAACATCAGGTCCCTCATCCGCTATCCTCTTGTAGGTGTCTGCTAGTTTGGGAAATGTAATGATATCATTTTCCTTCAGGATGTTTTTCTGGGAGTCACAGAACACTTCACTGGAATACAAAAACAAGAGCAGAGAACTTGTCAGGAGTTATCCAAACAAACCTGTAGAATAAAAGGACCAGCATTCCCATGGCATTGTCATCATAGGGTTTTACAGCGGCCAATCAAATCATCAATGGTCATAATAAATCACAGAGGAAGCCATGAATTTTGGACATCAATGTAATCACATTTTATTGGTTGCACTATATCAATGTGGTACTCTGTGATAAAACCCCACTAAAAATCCTATTACAGTTCTTTAGAGAGCATGGATGGACTTAATGTTGAGAGTTAGAATAGTAGATCACACAAGGTGCAACTTCGAAATGTTGTTGTGCATCAGAAGTTTTTCTCTTGTTATGTTACTCAATTAGCCCATGTCAGCAAAAAAAACATTTGATTGGTAAGTTAGTCTAGCCTGCAATCTAAACTTGTAGTAATCATGGTCATATTACTGACCAGGGGACCCCCATTGATTTTGTTATTCACTGTCACTCAGATATCATATTCAAAACTGCAACAAAAAAATCTCCACCCTAATGGAAAAATTGGTAGAATTGCAGGAAATTAACTTTAAAAATGCACATTTTTCTCTCTGCCCCATGGCAAAATATGTAGAATTGCAGCAAACTTGCTTTAAAACTGCCACATTTTCCATAGCCGCGGGAAGTAGGGCTGCTGGGGGTGCTGTAGAACACCCTCTACGCCCCATGGCAAAATGTGTAGAATTGCAGGAAATTAACTCTAAAACTTAAATTTTTCTATCTTCTGTCAAGAGGGGGGCTGCTAAAATGTTCTGCTCGCAAGGTGGGGGGGCCCCCCAACAAAATGTAACTTAGGGCCCCCAAAAGGCTAGGGCCGGCACTGACTGCATGTGTGGGTATGGATGTGGGTACACAGACCCGCGAACCACTGCGGCCCCTCATGATGAGTTCAGATTTTTTGTGGCCCCCACCCCTGTCAATGTTGCCCATCCCTGTTATAGAGCATTTACACTGTCATTAAAGGGTAGCTATTATCAACCATTCATATCACTTAAGTCTATCTTTGTCAATATTATTCGATTTGTAGAAGTGGTTGTAGTAGTAATATAGCATTTACAGAATACTTTTTTTCAGTATTTGTTTTCTCCTGTCCTCACCACATATTGGCATCTCCTTGAATAGCCTCCTTGTTCTTGGAGATGGCCTTGGCCAGGGCTTTGCCTATAGGGAAACCTAAGCGTGCCAACGTAATGCTTGGCTCAAACAGCTCCTTCCATGGCAGCCTGCCATGTCTCCTGTGTGCCATCTCGTAACCACGGATCTCCCCAGGAATGGCTATAGACAATCCACCTGTTATGCAGAGAAGACTTTACCACCTTTTGCACAAAGTTGAAATCATGCCCACAAACGATTTAAAATGCGTATCAGCCCATTTCCTAATTTTGATACATCAAACTGTTGCCCCCTTAGCAAAGCATATGATGCAGAAGGTTAGAGCTAATGTTCCTTAGAATGATGGAAGATCAGGGAAGAGGCTGACAGAAGGTTCAAACACAGTGTTATCTTCTCTCTATCCCTATCTCACTGTGATACATGACAGCTACCATATTATTGTTCAACTGTTATCTCAGGATGGTTTGAACTACAGAACCTTCCTAGCCCAACCTGTACCTGACGTACATTCCAGAACAGTAAAAATTGTACCTTTCCGGGAAAGCTGGGTGTTATTGCCAAACATGTCTTCCGTCGCTTTCATGGGTGCTGTCTCCCTCGCGTCAATGGTTTCTACCTTCCCTGTCAAGCAGTGATACAAAATACAGACAGATGGACGTTTGTTAGCATTTTTTCATTTGTGGAGTCTTGAGGACACACTGACTCACCTGTGGAAGCGTTGTAGATGTTGAAGAAAAGACCCCCTCCAATGCCCATGCTGTGAGCATTCAGGAGGCCAACACACAGCAGAGCGGCGATAGATGCATCCACCGCTGAGCCGTTCCTCTTCAGGATGTCCCTTGGTACGCACACACACACACACACTTAATGCTTCTTGTAGAGCTTAATCGTGTCCAGTCATTTGACTAAGCGTGTACCATGAATCATTGTATCAATGGGAATTAGTTGGCTAGTGTTACATGACTTACCTCCCCACCTCAGAGCATGTCCCAGCATCTGCAGCCACGGCAGCTTTTGAGTAGAAATGGTCTGAGGGTGAGATGGGGTTCTTGTTTCCCACCCCCATGAACACCCCCACGAACACTCCTACTGCAGCCACCAACAAAACCACCAGGCCAGCCACCAGGGACTTCCTGACCATTTTCCTACCCAGGGGAACCAACACACCAACACATCTTACAGTTAGACAGGAGCCTTACAGGTACTGTATCTTCCTGATTTAATGTATTATATAATTAGAAGTAGTAGGCTTTTTTTAGCAGCTAATACAGCATGCAGTCAGTCCTAGTGCTGTGTCTGCCTGATGAAACACTGTCAAAGGAACCTGCGAAGTGCCATGGGCATTGTGTCTCAATGTCATCACTATCATCCCAATGCAGAGGTCCCCCATGGAGCATGCTGTGGATTTTTAATCAGATATATTTGACTCAAATCTAAACTGTTGAACCAGAGTAGGCTTCATCCTGCCTTTGTGTGGATGTCAGAGGCTGTCCCTTGAGTTCACTGCATGTGTCACTTAATGATTTCTGTGAGTTACAAAATGGTACCGAGATGGTGGTTTTTATTTGACAAGCTCCATTAAACTTTAAACTCAAGCATAATAAAACAAAAACTACTGATAGATAATAGTGGTAGCCTACTACCTGGGATTGAGGCTGAGTGAGCAGGTAGCAAATTGATGACAATAAGAACCTAAAAATGTCCATTTTTTTACATTTTTGTCATTTTAGCAGACGCTCTTATCCAGAGCGACTTACAGTTAGTGAGTGCATACATTTTTCATACTGGCCCCCCGTGGGAATAGAACCCACAACCTTGGTGTTGCAAACGCCATGCTCTACCAACTGAGTGTGAATTCCTTGTGATTGTACATTTGTCAAATGATGATACACTTTATTTCAAGTGAATATTTACTTTCACCCATGAAAAATGATAATATTCCTCTCACCTCAATGTTTTGTGATCCTGACCTGAAGTGACCACGTGGATGGCCCCTCCTATAGAGGACACACTTTTTTATCTTGACATGATCACACAGCCCTGTGTCAAACGCTGTGACAACCAACCCTGGTCTCCCTTACATAAGAAGCATAAAATTAAGTGTAAAATACAAGAAATTGAAAATATACACTGAGTGTACAAACCATTAAGAACACCTTCCTAATATTGAGTTACACCCCCCATGCCCCAGACTCAATTCATTGGGGCATGGAATCTACAAGGTGTCGAAAGCATTCCACAGGGATGCTGGCCCATGTTGTCTCCAATGCTTCCCACAGTTGTGTCAAGTTGGCTGGATGTCCTTTGGGTGGTAGACCATTCTTGATACACACAGGAAACTGTTGAGCGTGAAAAACCCAGCTGTGTCACAGTTCTTGACACAAACTGGTGTGCCTGGCACATACTACCATACCCTGTTCAAAGGCACTTAAATCTTCTGTCTTGCCCATTCACCCTCTAAATGGCACACATACACAATGCATGTCTCAATTGTCTCAAGGCTGAAAATCCTTCTTTAACCTGTCTCCACCCCTTCATTTACACGGATTGAAGTGGATTTAACAAGTGACATCAATAAGGGATCATAGCTTTCATCTGGATTCACCTGGTCGGTCTATGTCATGGAAAGTAAAAAATTTGTATACCAAACAAAATCCATTGATTTCAAAGTTTAACATTTCAAATGACAGTTTCTGCTATTGGTTAAACTTTGAAATACATTTTAAAGTGAAAAATCTGTCTACACAGAAAACGTGGCAACCACATCAATGTACTCTTCACCATAAAGTACATTGTGTTATAAAATAATTATATTAAGAGTTTGTCTTATCAACCATTTTGAAACACTTACATAATAGATGTAACCCTGATATCTGATATGTGGCCTACACTTTAGAACTAAGCTGTTCAGAACGGAACAACAATACACTGTAATGAGTTACTGAACACTGTAATGAGTTACTTAGTAACATTTAGCCTAGTCCTGTGGTGTCCAGCAGCGCAACTGATTTACAGTATAGAAAACTCCTTACTTTCGGCCTCAACCACGTGTTCTGGTCTCTGTAATTGACCGGTAATCAACATAGCCTAATCAGCATGTGTAATCATTTTTATAACAACACTAAATTGCCATAACCAGCTTTGGCACACGCAACAGCACGTTGCCTCAATCAAATGACGTGTTCTGTGTTCAGTAATGTTGATTTGGCCAGACATACCATATTTGGCCAGACAAACACTGGAGACATACGAGGTAGTTGGATACGACTTGATGGGAATTGGGGTAGCCATGTAATTCTAGACCGAACAGAGGGTTAAAACCCAGACAATGAGTTAACAAGCAGTTAACAAATAGTTAACAAACCAAGATTTTTGAGACAAAAATATTTTTCACATTGCATTTTAAACTTGTAAAGTTCATTTTAATCCTTTATTAGATGTATAATATGCTATTTGAAGGAGTCTACAGTGATTATAATTGAATCACACAGTAGCCTATTTCACAACGAATTATACAGGATTTCATCATTGCCAACCATGTCATAACACTTGACAGAATTCCAATTCTCAAAAATGAATCTCAATATCAAACAATGATATCCTAATCAATTTGATAGCATAAATCACACAGTTTATAGTTGATGATGAATTTACTTCCATATATTGCTCAAATGCACAGCACAGCATATGCTCCCTTATGGATTGGACAGCAGCTCACCCATAGAAATATAATCTAAATAGTAGGATTCTATTTCTATATGCTTACCATTGTCTATTATTGCTGCATACTGTTCTGAACCCCTGATGGCCCCTGTGACTACATTTGGCCTAATCTAGGGAATTCATGTAAAACAACAAAGCACTGTGGCCCCAAAGCAAACTATGTGGTTTATTCCACATTAAAAACTGGTCTCACTGATCATTTTTATAATAAACAACCCCCATGCAATCTATGTGATTGCTGCAAAAGGTTTAATGCAATTACAGCTCAATGTCACAGTAAATTAAGGTGGTAGAGTTTATTCACAACAGGTGTGTCCTAATAAAGGCTGTGCACTCTGTGTCCGTACCATGCACCTTCCTAAATTGAAGTCGTGAGAAGGGCGTGTCGTAACTTCGTAGGGCGCGCAATGGCACAAGAAGGCTGTGATTGGTTATGCGCGCCACGAGTCTGGTGTCTGCCGTCCAACACTGCACAAACCTAAACAACAGCGTAAAGGCATGAGCATCAACTGCTGGCACACGTAGACCATCAGAGATCATAAAATAAACAGAGCATTCGTCTTTACTCGTAAATGTGTCACGGGCGAAATAGACAGTCATTGAATATCCGGTAACAGGTAAATCAGGAATATTGTGCTGTGTAGCTGTCTGTATTGGATGTTGTCTTCTGACAACAATAATAGGCTATAGGCTACAGATAATATATGGGCTATTGAACTGGGTTATATTTCTGAGTTTAGACAGGGTAATGTATTATGGTTGCATTGTGCAATTGTAAAATACTGTCGATATAAACACTTAAATATGGGTTCTAGATTAAGCAGACAGAGTAGTCTGGACAATGAGAATTTTACGAAAAGGCGTTGCAAGCATCTTGACAGCACAGGAGAAGGCGACAGAGGTGGAATTCGAGGCGGCGGCGACATTCTGTTTACAATGATGCTGAAATCAGACAAACTGCCGGGGATGCTGAGGCGGTCCAATCACAGTCCCTACGTGAGGCGAGTGGCATGGATCCGAGAGATACAAAAGCTGCTCCGTGATCGCAGGATAGATCAGGCAACCGACGTGCTTAAACTATTGAGGAAGGTAAGGACAAACTATCTACATTGAATTATTGTGTACGAATCAATCAAAATTGCGCACAGTATGCCTACATCGCGCAAATGTGCATCGATCTGCTGTCATGACAAATGCCTGTCATCACTGCACGTCAACATGTGTGTTGTCAGTCCCATTCTAACAATTTTGATTTGAATTTTTCTAACAGATATATAAACCTTTCTATGCAGCTTGCGTAATTTAGACTGTCGTGGATAAGTCCCAATATTTCCGTTTATGCAGGAGCTCCTCTCCATTATTTAACATACATTTTAAGTAGCCTACATATCCATACAGTGGCCACAGGTGCTCCTACTGTTGACGCGTTATGGAAGGAGGTGTTTGTAAACTATTAGGCCCACTACTCTCACTGTCAACCCTGGCATCTGATCATTTCCTTGGCACCACAGGTGCTGCTGCTATTTCAAATAAACCTTGAACAATATCACAATTACTATTCACAATATGATAGACAGATTTGTCTGAGTGCATGCACTTTTTCAGAGTTTCTAAAAATAACAGAAACAGGATGCTGGACCAGCTTGTGGGAATAGAGGGAATCTGCCATGTATTCTCATAAATAGGCAGTTCTATGTGCAACAGCAGTGGTGTAACACATGGGACTGCAAGTGTCTGTCTGTAGAATGAATGCTGATTTCTTTCATTAACAACATTTTCCTATTTCATTACATTATCTTATGCCATTCCACCTATAATGATGTAATGATAATGTAATATGTTTAGTATTGACATTTGTTGGAAAACCTGCATTTGATTTGGTCAATTTAATTGCAACCTACACTACCAGTCAAAAGCTTGGACACACCTACTGATTCAAGGGTTTTTCTTTATTTTTTACATTGTAGAATAATAGTGAAGACATCACAACTATGAAATAACACATATGGAATCAATTTATATTTGAAATTCTTCAAATAGCCACCCTTTGCCTTGATGACAGCTTTGCACACTCTTGGCATTCTCTCAACTAGCTTCATGAGGTAGTCACCTGGAATGCATTTCAATTAACAGGTGTGCCTTCTTAAAAGTTAATTTGTTTATTTCCTTCTTAATGTGTTTGAGCCAATCAGTTGTGTTGTGACAAGGTATGGGTGTATACAGAAGATAGCCCTATTTGGTAAAAGACCAAGTCCATATTTTGGCAAGAACAGCTCAAATAAGCAAAGAGAAAGGACAGTCCATCATTATTTTAAGACAGTGCAGTCGCAAAAACCATCAAGCGCTATGATGAAACTGGCTCTCATGAGGACCGCCACAGGAATGGAAGACCCAGAGTTACCTCTGCTGCAGAGGATA